AAATATATACAGGTTAAAAGTAATGACTAAATGTTCCACCCTTAAATATAGTTGTGAAATGTTCTTGTTTTAAGTATGATTAGTACTTTCTTAGTAGTGACTAATTATTACACTCCGAAACTGTGTGAAAAGTGTTAGCATCATAAGACTATAAACTGATAATATGTGTAGCTTAGTTAGAAGTACAATGAGGCAGTCAGAATATTGCGAGAACGGCGATAACTGAGGAGTGCAGGGAGTAGACTATGATAAGAACATGTGTGTGTGTATGTATGTGTGTGTATGTGTATGTGTGTGTGTGTGTGTATGTGTGTGTGTGACCTGATGGTCAGGAGAGCAGTTTTCAAGTGGAAAACTACAACCCGCCTAAAGAGGGGTGGGATTTTTGTATGACGTGTGCGTATAAAAATATTGTACGACCATTTTGTGGCAGAATTCTCAATGAATAAAGGCCTGACTATGCAGACCGGGACTCTGTCCGTTTCTTGATCCAAAAGCATTACAACCTTTTGGGAGACGCACAGAGACATTGAAATAGTTAGTTAAATAATTCTCATAACAAGATCCTCTCAAGCTCTGTCAGGTTGGATGGGGAGCGTCACTGCACAGCTATTTTCAGGTCTCTCCAGAGATGTTCGACCGGGTTCAAGTCCAGGCTCTGGCTGGGCCACTCAAGGACATTCAGAGATTTGTCCCGAAGCCACTCCTGCGTTGTCTTGGTCGTTGTCCTGTTGGAAGGTGAACCTTCGCCCCAGTCTGAGGTCCTAAGTGCTCTGGAGCAGGTTTTCGTCAAGGATCTCTCTGTACTTTGCTCCGTTCATCTTTCCCTCGATCCTGGCTAGTCTCCCAGTCCCTGCCGCAGAAAAACATACCCACAGCATGATGCTGCCACCACCATGCTTCACCGTAGGGATGGTTCCAGGTTTCCTACAGATATGATGCTTGGCATTCAGGCCAAATAATTCAATTTTGGTTTCATCAGACCAGAGAATCTTGTTTCTCATGGTCTGAGAGTCTTTAGGTGCCTTTTGGCAAACTCCAAGAGGGCTGTCATGTGCCTTTTACTGAGGAGTAACTTCTGTCTGGCCACTCTACCATGAAGGCCTGATTGTTGGAGTGCTGCAGAGATGGTTGTCCTTCTGGAAGGTTCCCCCATCTCCGCAGAGGAACTCTGGAGCTCTGTCAGAGTGACCATCGGGTTCTTGGTCACCTCCCTGACCAAAGCCCTTCTCCCCCAAATGCTCAGTTTGGCCAGGCGGCCAGCTCTAGGAAGAGTCTTGGTGGTTCCAAACTTCTCCCATTTATGAATGATGGAGGCCACTGTGTTCTTGGGGACCTTCAATGCTGCAGACATTTTTTGGTACCCTTCGCCAGATCTGTGCCTCGACACAATCTTGTCTCGGAGCTCTACGGACAATTCCTTCGACCTCATGGCTTGGTTTTTGCTCAGACATGCACTGTCAACTGTGGGACCTTATATAGACAGTTGTGTGCCTTTCCAAATCATGCCCAATTAATTGGATTTGCCACAGGTGGACTGCAATCAAGTTGTAGAAACATCTCAAGGATGATCAATGGAAACAGGTTTCACCTGAGCTCAATTTCGAGTCTCATAGCAAAGGGTCTGAATACTTATGTAAATAAGGTATTTCTGTTTTTCTAAAAACCTGTTTTCGCTTTGTCATTATGGGTTATTGGGTGTAGATTGATGAAATAATAATATTTAATACATTTTAGAATAAGGCTGTAATGTAACAAAATGTGGAAAAAGCCAAGGGGTCTGAATACTTTCCGAATGCACTGTATATGTGGCATTACAATTCTATCTCTGAGATCTATGGACAGTTCCTTGGACTGTTGTAGTGACAGCTCAAAGATGATCAAAGGAAATTGGATGCACCTGAGCTCAATTTGGAATGACATAGCAAAGGGGTGTGAAAACTTATGTAAATGAGTATTTATATATTTCATTGTCAATAAATTTACAAACATTTACATAAACATGTATTCCCTTTGTCATTATGGAGTATAGTGTGTAGATGGGTGAGAAAAAAATATATTTAATCCAATTAGAATTCAGGCTGTAACACAACAAAATATGGAATAAGTGAAGGGGTATGAATACTGTCTGAAGGCACTGTATAGAGTGCCTCACACCCAGCTTCTAAGCCTAGCTCAACACAGAACAGCAGAGCTAGCTCTCTGAGGTGCAAAGGACCACAGCAGGGGCTCTGGTTGTACTACATAATACAACAAATTACTGTGGGTAGAAACATACACAAATATGTCAACAAATGAAATATAAAAAATAAAAATAAAAAATAAATTATTCAGGGGATCTGCATGCTGCCTTCACCTATGTACTATATGAGCGCTGGTTCATTTACATAAGAGATGTAGACTGTGTTATTATCCAATTAATAATGGGAATAAAGGTACTTAACCACTTTGCCTTCACATACTGATGAGATATTGAGTGATTAAAATTAATTAATCAAGTCTGATGATCTACTCTAATGGCTGATATACTAAATAAAAATAGCATATTATACACGGTATGCGTTATGATAATTTCATGCTAGGCCCAGTTTTACGAATGTCATATTTCACTGCTATCGTTTTCTGTGAGTTTTGGCTTACAGTAAGTCAACACAAAACAAACATCATGGTACTGTGATAAATTGCCTACAAATGACTAAATCGAGGCAAGTCAATTATGCGCTCCATTGTGTGTTTTCAGTGACAGCGGTGCTGTATATCAGCTGTTTATCCGTCTCTTTCTGGGGTAAACCAGCAGAGTCAAACCCTGAGGTCACAAAGCATAATGGGAGAAGGGTTGAAGCCGTCTCCGGGACACAGGGTACTAACCCTAACCCTAACCCTAACCCTAACCCTGTTGTAAGATACGGCATCTAATAAACACACACACACACGGACGCGGACTCACACAGAGACTCACACAAGGCCTCACATACACACATGCTAGCACACACCCACACACACTACTGTAGCACATGGGGATGTATGAAATGTACCCCTCAGCCTAAAGTGTCCCCACTTGCGGCAGTGAATAGCTAGCTTTTCATGTGGCGTGACTGGTAACACGCTTCGGGAGGGTGGTCACGTGTGCTAGCAAAGCAGAGGTCCTGGGTTCGAGCCTCGGTTTGAGCCGAATCAGGAGGAAGAGGTACTCGCTAAGCAAGCAGCGTGACATCCGTTGTACTAACACACACAGACTAACACACACACGCTAGCGCACACACACGCGCTAGCACACCTACGCTAGCACACATACACACACATACAGTAGGATATGGCGTCTAGTAAAGGCGACAGGGAAAAGTTATTATGTGGCGTGTGAAACATGTCACACTCATCTATCTGGAGTGTCAGTGTACGAGTGTGAGGTTTTACCGCAATGATTTATTCCCACGATGCTTTGCTAAGACTATGTGGGAAAACAGGGATTGAGGTTGAAGTGTCAAGATTCACATGCAATGTCTTTCCTGACACCTTGCTCGAGACGTGCTTCTTCACAATTCTCCACCCTAGCTTCCCGCCAGTCAGAATAATCAAAATGGCAGCATCTCTAATGAAGATTTCAGAGATGCAAGCAACAGCCCGCAGCGCTCATTTGCCACTTTAAGAGGATATATCAATTGAAACAGCATCCTAAAAAAAATAACACGATTCAAAAGCCCCTTCCTGATGCCTCCTCTTCTCCTCTCTTCTTTTCGTCCTTCGCGGTTTCCCTCCGCTCGTCATCGCCATTGATAATGATCGCCTACGTTCACCCAGGGCCGTCCTAAATGGGGGAGACGTGGATGGCAAAGAGTGCGACAATGAGCACCTAGCCAGCCCTGCATTAATTGGAAAGAGGCTGTGAATAATGTACGCAGACTAAAGCTATATTTTCATCCAGCATAAAACATTAACGCCTTGGGGTTGGCGTTTCGGTTTCAAGGAGTCCAGGCCATAGAAGCCTTAATTGGACCAATTTAAACACCTCTGTGCAAGACTTCAGCTCTTTCTCTCTATTCTAGCCCTGGTGACTGGGTTGTGTAAGTGGTGGCCGTGAGATGAAACATTGCCTGGTTGCCTGTCTGTTCCTCCTTCGCACAGCAGAGGAATCACAGCTATCGATTGTGGTTTAAAGTCGCAGGGCTCTCAAGTGGGGAATAGCCCAATATGGTGACCTTTACAACCCACACGCCTCGCTCAGCTCTGTGGAGAATTAACTGGGGTTTGGATGCTACCAGGGTCCCTGAGCCAACAGACACAGAAGTAGACATGAACACACACACACGCACACGTACACCTACACATGGACGTAGACATGTACACAGTGACACACAGGCGCGCATGCACCCACACACACACACACAGCATGGTGCCCTGATTCCAGATAGACCTTATTTTTATCTATTTACATCAGCTATTGCTTTGGCCTGCTTCGCTCTATGCTCTAATTTTCCTCTTTGCACTGCGTTTCTCACCTCGGCTGGAAGCAGGCTTAGTGAAGGATGGCTCTAAACGGGTGCTAATAGACACCCAAAGTGCATGTAATTTCTCCCTAGGAAAACCAAGAAGGAAACGTGAGTGATGCTTTGATACTCTGGAAATTCTACCATATGTGACACAGAGACAGTGTCTAGGAGCAACAAACTGAGAAAGGTTGTAATGCCGAATGTAATTTTTATTTTTTTATAATAATGAAGTATTTTCCTATTTTACTTCCATTGTCCTCCAAAGAGTGGCTGAATGTTTCTCCCATAAATATTGTCCTGAGACAGTGTTTAACAGTATGAAACAAACCTTCGTTTTACAGGACCTGAGCTGGCATCCATAGAAACCATATTTTCAATGTACTACCTTCGTAAACAGCCCATTTTCAATTTCACACAAGCCATTGATTTGGAAGAAAACATTGAGGCCGGGCGATATGCCTCAGAAATAGGAACGCAAAAAGAAAATGACTTTTAGAGAGAAAAGGTAATGAACTACATTATAAAGAGACAGGGTGTACTCAGCCAACCCACATAGCCTCTCTGATGGATGGATTGCAGGTGGCTCTTACCATTAGAGGAAGAGGCTGAAGGGTTGGTTAGGGATGTGCTTGGATCCTTCCTCCCTGGCTGGGTGGCTGTGTACAGGGTCACAGGGCCAAGTGGGACTAAGGGGACCACCTCTTTCTCCTGCTCAGACAGACCCTCCTCTGAGCTGGTGAGCCCACCGGTGGATGTCTTGAGTGAGGGGCCTCCGCTCCGATGCTCCATGATGGCATTGTCCTTACTTCCTTTGCTGCCGAGCTTGGGCCTCCCTTCAGTGGGGTTGACCTTAGCCGACCCTGGGGGTGCCTGGTCCTCCTCTGCTTCTGTCCCCTCGGGCAGTGAGGCAGGTGTGGCTGGGGGAGGGGCCTCCGTGTCGGTCTCCATAGAGCCCGTCCAATACTTGAAGGGCTTCATCAGGTTGTTGACGAAGCTGTGGAGAACGCTATTGGTAGTCTGGGCCTGGAGCGTTGGAGAGGTCTGGGAGGACAGAGGGGAGTCCGATGTCCCGAAACGCCCCTCCTCGTCCCCCTCATCCTCCACCTCCTCCTGGGCAGAACCTCCGTGGGTCTCCAGACTCTCCAGAGCAGACAGACCCAGGGTACTGGTCTTAGTCTTAGGGCTGGAGGAGGCGTCCTGAGGGGCTCCAGTCTTGGATCGGTCCTGGGTCTCCTGGTTCTCCTCTCCCCAGCGCTGGGTACTCTCCCCTGGCTGGAGGAGGATTACCACGTGCTCCTCTGAGATCTCAGATGACACATTGCCTCCAGCGATGGAGCTGATTCCCTCCTTGTCCAGGTCCACGATGCCAGTCCAGGTGGAGAGTTGGGGGAAGGGGTCAGAGCGCTGGGGCTCAGTGTCTGAGGAGTTGTTCTCTGGCTCTCTGTATTGGAGGAACCCCACTGACTGGGCTGCCTGGACTCCTGCTTCACGTTCTGTAATTATATCAAAAATATATTAGCATTCTTATTTGCTTTCCTGGCAATAAGGCATGGGTTTTAAATAATAATATTTGCAATAAGCTGTGACTCATCCATATTCTTATATGTTGATGACCTCTGTTTTTGATTTTGCTTTCAATAATAAATTATAAATAATACATGTAGACATGTTCCTCCTCTCTCCTTGGGTTACTTTATTTTAGGGCAAAATCTAAGATAAAACTTAATTACGTCTGTATCAATTTAGTCCCTGTCAATCATCCTCCATGTCACGCCGAGGAGGAAATGCAGCCTAATGCAGATCACACGCTGCACAAACACAATCAAATCCAAGCACACAGCACACAGGAGTGTACAGTCATTCCAAAGTGAACTTGAAACTAAGACAAATCACCAGCGGTCCAGTAACATTATAAACACTATAGAATGACACTGCAAGGACATTGAGGCTATAGCCAGTGTACAGATCACTGCTGGGTCTCTCTAAGTCTGTATTGAGAGCTTGCAGATGCTGATACCAGACACTGGCTGGTTGCTACAGTAGAAGATTTCAGATCCCAGAAGGGACCAAAATGTCACTGAATCCCCTCTGTATTAATTCATGCATGAGACAAACAACACGCACTAATTAATGGGAATTAAACAGGACGGTTGCCATGGTGATGGTGACCCTGCCGTTACCTCGGTAGCAGTAGGCGTCGAAGCGGGTGGTGGTTACTGGGAAACCGGTGCGGTTGGGGTTGTGGTAGACAGTGCGCACCCCTGGATCATCCCCACCACAGTTGCGCCGGGGAAGGTTTATGGGGTAGCGCACGCTGCCATCGGCCAGCCAGCCTGGGTCACACTGGTCCAGGCCGGCCTGCCAGGCTAGGTAGAGCTGCCCTGCCGTGGCCAGCTGGGCACTTAGAGAGTGGCAGTGGGTAGAGGCTGTGGCCAGGCTCAGCTTCTCTGGTACAGACGAGTGGAACACCTCACCTGGGAGAGGAGGATGGAGATGGAGAGATGGAGGTATAATGAGGTAGTGTGGGGGGAAAGAGAGATAGGTGTGGGAGGTGGAGTGGTACGGGAGCAATGGGGGAGGATGGGAGTACCATATGAAGAAGAAGGGGAGATATAATTACAATAAAGTATGAGATGAATAGAGAGATGTTGAATGTAATATGAGAAGTGATGACAGACAAGATTGAACAGGTCAATAAAGCAATTTCACAGAAGAACCATAGAATACTCAGAACCACTGGACATCCATCCTGTGAAGCTAGATAGCCCAGTCATATGCAAGGTATCAAGAATGACACTTCTCATAAAATTACCTCATATACTTCCTGCTACAGTATCACAGTAGCATTATTAACTGAAACGTCTGGCTCTGCACAGTAACAAATTACCCAGGTTCCCAAGTGCCCAATTTTAAAGGCACCTGCTGTGAATAGGACTCGATCCTCCTGTAGAAGTTTCCTCTGATCCTGGCCACGGCAGTATAACTCACCACCCAGCTACAGCACAAAAGTCAGGCGGTTCCAGCATCGTTGCTCCTGGGGCTTTGCAGGGTCATGCATGACTAAAACCTAATTGACGCCTCCCTCCTACCTTGTAGTTGCTTGGCAAAGCAGTAGACATCAAACAGCTCTTCAGGGGCCTGATTGCCGTAGTTGCGCACTCCAGGTGAGTCCTGCCTGTCGCCATAGCAACCCGGCCTGGGCGACTGGATAGGGTACCTGAGGAGAGCGAGAGAGGGAGGGGGAGGAGGGGAGCCAAAGAAAATCAGGAATTTCTCCAGAAATCTCTCGGCTGGGGGGGCGAATAGGCAATCTATATCCGGACTCCGACTGTGCAATTACTCTGAAGTACATTGATTCAAACAGCATTGAGGGTACAGCCTAAATGCTGATTAAGAGATTATGTATAGAGGCATGCAGGGGCTTATGGAGGACAACAGGAAGGAAGAAAGGCTTATTACACACTCAGTAGCTACAATCCTGCATGCGCTCGGTTTGCAACCGTTTTCGTCAGACAATGTTATAGCTAAATCCCCCATCTCAGCCTTCCATCCTGGTCGCTGATGTCTCTATTTTTACATTATTAATTGCACGTTTGCCTCCTCATTGATGTGTAGCCAAGTAGCTCTGGAGATGGACCAATTATATGTGTGCCAGGTGGGGAGGAGAGGATAGGAGAGGATAGGATGCAGTTCTCTGTCGAGGAGAAATATGCAAGCTGCTTCTCCAGTGCAATTATTGGGCAGACGTTTGAGATAGAGATGTGTCAAAATATCCACATCTTAACTGTACTACACACACTGACTATCTGTCATCAACATACATAACGGGAGGCGGCAAGCTGAAACACAAACATCAACATTAAAAGGTAGTCGAGGGATAGTTGTGGTTGAAATGGCGGAGCGTGATGACAGAGCTAGCCTCTGAGATGTAAACAAGCAATTACATCCTTTGATACGAGAGATTCAGGAGTTTATGAGGGGACCATTGGTGTCAAAATACTTTGCATACCTTACTTTCTGTTGGTAATTTCATTCCCTGGTTCCTTATCTGGGCCACAGAGGCAACAGAGACATTTTGTGAAAGCTATCTAATTGCCTATCAAAGCCCTGTCATTTTTAGTTAGTCTGAAGTAAACGTATACTTTGCCACTCTTCATAAAGATGTATTACCTCTGATACTTACTCGTCAGAGATATTGCTTTACATTGTTGCAGTGTATCGTAAGTAAGTATCATAAGTAAACAATTTGTACAACCCTATAAGCACCGACCTTTCAGGGGACAGGTGCTCAAAATGAAAAAAGTGAATTATGAAAAAACATTCATAATTCATATCTTGAAATTCATAACATGACAAATGCCGCTGTAGTGGAAAAAATGTATATACTGTATGTGAGCATAGGCCTATTTATTTCTGCAACAACAAACTCACTCATCATCACCTATTGTAAGCAAGCTAGTTGCAGTGCCTCCTAAAGACATGATTGACATCGGGAAAAGAGGGTGGGGTATCAGCTGATCATTGGTGTTGATTGATGTAACTCTGCTAGTTAGCTAGCTCGATTTATTTGATTGATTGTGATTTACCTCTCTATGTCTCTCTGCCTCTCTCAGCCAACCAGACCGAATATTGATGATGATGTAGGCTAAATCAAGTGTTATCAAATGTTAATCAAATGTTATGCTGTTGTGGCATTATTTTTGATATTTAAACTAGGTAGCTAGCTACACACACTCGACCGGTGACCGCATCTCTCAAGCCATGCACGTTTGGATACCGGACGCGCGCAATCTCCGTTCCGAACAATGACAAAACATTTAAATACATTTTTGGGGGATGGATTATACCACCACCCCAAAGGGCACTTTGGAGACTGGAAGGGCAAAAGGGCATGTGCTCTGGACAAGTAGAGCCCTATCTGCGCACGTGCCTACCTATAAGGATAGTGGCCATGCTGTGGTGTGTTTTTGCTGAGTCGAGCTTCATGCCCAGTCGTTTTGCCCTTACCTCACGCTCTGGTCAGAGAGCCAGCCGGCATCACAGTTGTCATACCCGTCGGCGAAGGTGGCCTGGAGCTGAGCGGGCGTGGCGATGACAGCCGAGTTCTCCAGACACACCCGCTGGGCGTCGGGGAAGGACAGGGCGTAGCGGTCGTGGGGGGCACGGTAGTGGAACACCACACCTGAGGAGAGGATGCAGAGGTGAAAACACGTAGGGCGACACCAGGGTAATATGGAGACATGGACGCACGCTTGTACGCAGGCACATTCACACACGCACGCACAATCTCACACTGGCACACACAGGTGCGTGCGCACAGACACACGGCTCAAACCCTACATCATCATGTACTTCAAATGTTGTATCTGTATCTGCACAGAAAGTTGGAAAACATTTATAAAACTACCTCCGAGCTCAAAGTTAATTTGCATCAGACAGGCTTATCTTTAGGGGAGAGATCTTGTCCTTGGATACAGTGGATGACAAACAGCAACAATGTTTGCTTTACTGCTTTAGCTTACAGTCCACAGCAATACTATAGCTTGTTTTCATAGACAGAAAAGAAAACAGTGAAATAAAGAGAGATAGTCAAAGAGAGATAGATAGTGAAGGAGAAGCGAGATAGAGGAAACAAAGGAAAGAGACGAGTCCCATGCGCTCATTCCATGACCTGTGAATGGCCAGGATTCCTCTCCATTGTGCCGAGAAATGAGAAGGGAATTGCTTTTGAAGTGTCCATCTCATATTTCCCCACCAAGCTAGCATCACTAACCTCCCCCGCATGTGGGGCCACACATCAAATCCCAGTGGAGCCCACTACATGAAAGCCTGTAGACAGGGAGGCTGAGGGAGGCCGGGATACAGCTCCAAACATGGGCTCCTTTATCTTATGATGCTTTGTGCAGTATAATGACAGAAACTCCTCTGGGCGCGGGGCCAATTTGAGCAATCACGCTGTAGGCTAGTCTCGGAAAATGAGCCCGTATCCCTGTGGTATGACAGACACACCCACACTTATACACATGAAAGCACACACACACACACTGTCACGACTTCCTCCGAAGCTGCCACCTCTCCTTGTTCGGGCAGGCTTCGGCGTTCGTCGTCACCGGCCTTCTAGCCACTGCCGCTCCTTTTCTCATCATTCCATTTGTTTTGTCTTGTTTATTACACACACCTTGTTCATATCCCCTCATCAGTACCTGTATAAGTGTTCCCTCTGCCCCCTTGTCTTTGTGTGTGATTGTTTATTGTGGAGGAGAGAGAAGCTTGGTGGAACTCCGTGTATTTTGTATCGCCGGGAATATTCCCTGTATGCCTTGTATTTCCAGTGCACCTGTTTTGCGCACTGGAGTGTTTTGACGCATTTCTGCGTAACTCTGTGGTTCAGAATAAATCCTGCGCCTGACTCCTTCAAATCACCTCATCACAGAATCACACACCCAAACATGGAGTCAGCAGGAGAGGAGCACATGCCTTGAGTCGTGGCACGGGTCTGGGCGCATTCGAATATGCTAACCAGCTTGGGAGAAGCGATGGATCGGGTTCTCCAGGTTGTCCAACGCCTGAAGAGGAGAGGACCGGATCTTTCGGGACCTGCTGAGCGACCGGATCCAGCCACCCTCACCCCAGCACCCAGAGGGATCCATATATCCGGCCGGCTCCATCGGAGCGGGAGAAGGGGTCCGCCCTCATCTCCTGCCTCTCGGGGAAAGCCCTGGAGTTGGCCAATGTGGTCTGGAGTGAAGGAGGAGCCGTGTTGGACAACTACGGGGAGTTCGCTCGCCTCTTTCGGGCCATCTTCGATCACCTGCCCGAAGGTAGAGAGGCTGGTCCACCTGAGGCAGGGGACGAGGACCGCGCAGGACTTCGTCCTAGAGTTTCGGACTCCGCCCTGGAGTTTCGGACTCTAGTGGCTGGGTCCGGGTGGAACGAGCGGGCCCTCATCGACCACTTCCGGATCGACCCCCCCCAACCCGGATCAGGAGTTGATGAAGCTGGGTGGAGCGGTGATCTGGGAGAGCGGAGGACGACAGCGCCAGTGTCACTCTCGTGGCACGACAGGACATTCTCCTGCACGCTGTTGTCAGCGTTCTTTTGGGTCTGGACGTGGCAGGCAGGGCACTCTCGCGTCACCCCAGGTGTCGAACACCCATACTCGTTCAGAGCCCTCTGCTGCGCACTGTACCCTTCACATCCACTTTCCTGATTACACAGTAGTTCCCCAGTGCTGGTTGATTCAGGTGCAGCTGGGAACTTTATGGACAGGTCATTTGCACATAGTCTAGGCATTACATTGGTTCCCCTATCCATTCCATCCCGATCCATCACTACCGTTCGTAGTGGAGGTGGATGCGTCCGAGGTAGGGATAGGCGCTGTCCTATCTCAACGCTCGGGCACGCCACCCAAGCTCCGCCCCTGTGCCTTCTTCTCCAAGAAGCTCAGCCCGGCGGAGCAGAACTACGGCGAAACACCCTTTCCTCGTCTGGACGGACCACCGTAACCTGGAGTACATCCGGGCAGCGAGGAGGCTGAACCCTCGCCAGGCCAGGTGGGCCCTATTCTTCACCCGGTTTGATTTTACACTATCATACATCCCGTGTACGAAGAACGTACAACGTGAAGGCAGACGCACTGTCATGGCTGTACGATACAGAGGAGAGGCCCATAGACAACACCCTCATACTCCCGGCCTCCTGTATTGTGGCGCCGGTAGTATGGGCGATGGACGCGGACATAGAGCGGGCGTTACGCACAGAGCCATCTCCACCTCAGTTTCCAGCTGGGCTGCAGTGCGTGCCGTCTCCTGTCCGTGACCAGCTGATCTATTGGGCACACACGTCCCCCTCCTCTGGTCACCCAGGTATCGGTCATTCAGTGCGCTGCCTGACCAAAAAGTACTGGTGGCCTACCTTGGCTAAGGACGTGAGGGTGTATGTCTCCTCCTGCTCGGTGTGTGCCCAGAGTTAGTTACAGCCCTTACCAGTTCCACAACGGCCATGGTCCCACCTGTGTATTGACTTTCTCACTGATCTTCCCCTCTCTCAGGGTAACACCACCATCCTGGTCGTTGTGGACCGATTTTCAAAAGCCTGCCACCTCCTTCCTCTGCCCGGTCTCCCCATGGCCCTGCAGACTGCGGAGGCCCTGTTTACTCCTGTCTTCCGGCACTATGGGGTGCCAGAGGACATAGTGTCTGACCGGGGTCCCCAGTTTACATCCAGGGTCTGGAAGCCGTTCATGGAACTTTTGGGGGTCTCGGTCAGCCTGACCTCTGGGTTTCACCCCGAGAGTAATGGGCAGGTGGAACGGGTGAATCAGGATGTGGGTAGGTTCCTGCGGTCCTACTGCCAGGACCAGCCGGGGGAGTGGTCAGTGTTCTTGCCATGGGCAGAATATGCCCAGAACTCTCTCCACCACTCCTCCACTAACCTATCGCCCTTTCAATGTGTTTTATGTTATCAGAAGGCCAATGCTGACCGCCACTGCAGTGAGGCTCCGGTTTTGGTACCGGGTGATCGGGTCTGGCTCTCGACCCGGAAAATACCCCTACGCCTGCCATGCCAGAAGCTGAGCCCACGGTTTGTGGGGCCGTTCAAAGTCCTGAGGAGGATAAACGAGGTTACATATAGGTTATTACTCCCTCCAGATTACCGTATTAACCCCTCGTTCCATGTGGTCCGCTCCAGGAGTCTGAGGTGCGGGAGGTTCCTCCGCCCCCTCTGGACATCGAGGGGGCCCCAGCTTACTCCGTCCGTTCCATCCTGGATTCGAAGCGTCGGGTGGGGGGCATTCAGTACCTCGTGGAGTGGGAGGGGTACGGTCCGGAGGAGCGGTGCTGGGTTCCGGTGAGGGATATCCTCGATCCCTCCCTATTGCGTGATTTCCACCGTGGCCGGTGTCGGCGCGCTGCTGGAGCTGAACGTTGGGGGGGGGGGTGGTACTGTCACGACTCTCCTTGTTCGGGCAGGCTTCGGCATTCGTCGTCACCGGCCTTCTAGCCACTGCCGCTCCTCATCTCATCATTCCATTTGTTTTGTCTTGTTTATTACACACACCTGGTTCATCAGTACCTGTATAAGTGTTCCCTCTGCCCCCTTGTCTTTGTGTGTGATTGTTTATTGTGGAGGAGAGAGAAGCTCAGTGGAGCGCCGTGTATTTTGTATCGCCGGGAATATTCCCAGTATGCCTTGTATTTTCCAGTGTGGCTGTTTTGCGCACTGGAGTGTTTTGACGTATTTCTGCGTGACTCTGTGGTTCAGAATAAATCCTGTTATTCTGTGATTTACCCTCCTGCGCCTGACTCCTTCAAATCACCTCATCACACACACACACACACACACACCCCGCTACAGCCCTCCATCCTGTTTCCATATACTGCTGTACTGTACACTCCAGCTCAACTTTGTAGCAGGAGTCGTCTCTTTCATTCAGGCTTTTCATTTCTCTTCTCCCAGGGTCTCTGTTTAGGGCTCCTTCCCGCCGAGGCTAGGAGCCAGGCCAAGCACAGAGATGCTAGCTGCTACCGTTCTGGAGCTTGGGAGACAAATGGGTTTCTGAGGAGCACCATGGGGGGGGGGGGTGCCCCGTCCCATTTAACAGGAGGGTCACATTTCCCACAACTACTACACTCTATTTCTACCAAGCCATAACACATACGAATCAAATCAAATGTTATTGGTCGCGTAAACATATTTTGTAGATATTATCACAGGTGCAGCGAAATGTTTCTTGCTCCAACAGTGCAGTAATACCTAACAATACAAAACAATACACATAAACAAATAAATTGATATCAGAATGAGCAATGTCAGAGTCCGGAATATAAATATATACACTGAGTATACAAAACATTAAGAACACAGACTGACAAGGTGAATCCGGGTGAAAGCTATGATCCCTTATTGATGTCATTTCAATCAGTGTAGATGAAGGGGAGGAGACAGGTTAAAGAAGGATTTTTTAAGCCGAGACAATTGAGACAGATTGTGTATGTGTGCCATTCAGAGGGTGAATGGGCAAGACAAAAACTATAAGTGCCTTTGAATGGGGTATGGTAGTAGATGCCAGGTGCATCGGTTTGTGTTGAATTGCAACACTGCTGGTTTTTTCACGCACAACAGTTTCCCGTGTGTATCAAGAATGGTCCACCACCCAAAGGTCATCCAGTCAACTTGACACAACTGTGGGAAGCATTGGAGTCAACATAGGCCAGCATCCCTGTGGAATGCTTTCAACACCTTGTAGAGTCCATGGCCCAACGAATTGAGGCTGTTCTGAGGGCATTAGGGGGTGCAACTTAATATTAGGAAGGTGTTCTTAATGTTTTGTACACTCAGTGTATGTATGTGATGGGGTGTATAGACATTATGGAAAGTATATGAATAGAAAGGGTGTGTACAGCATTAGTTATATAGGATGAGCCTTGACTAGCATACAGTATATACATATGAAGTGGGTAAAACAGTATGTAAACATTATTAAAGTGACCAGTGTTCAATGACTCTAAGTACATAGGGCAGCAGTCTCTAAGGTGCAGGGTAGAGTACCGGGTGGTAGCCGGCTAGTAACAGTGACTAAGTTCAGGGCAGGGTACTGGGCGGAGGCCGGCTAGTATTGACTATTTAACAGTCTGATGGCCTGGAGATAGAAGCTGTTTTTCAGTCTCTTGGTCCCAGCTTTGACGCACCCGCACTGTCTCCGCCTTCTAGATGGTAGCGGAGTGAACAGGCCGTGGCTTGGGTGGCTCGGGTGGCTGAGGTCCTTGATGATCTTCTTGGCCTGGAGGGCAGGCAGTATGCCCTCAGGGATGCGTTGGGCTGACCACACCACCCTCTGGAGAACCCTGCGGTTGCGGACAGTGCAATTGCCGTACAAGGCGTTGATACAGCCCGACAGGATGCTCTCAATGGTGCATCTGTAGAAGTTTGTGAGGATCTTAGGGGCTAAGCCAAATTTCTTCAGCCTCCTGAGGTTGAAGAGGCGCTGTTGCACCTTCTTCACTACACTGTCTGTGTGGATGGACCATTCAGGTTGTCAGTGATGTGCACGCCAAGGAACTTGAAGATTTTCACCCTCTCCACTGCGGCTCCGTCGATGTGGATGGGGAATGCTCTCTCTGCTGTCTCCTGAAGTCCAGGATCAGCTCCTTCATTTTGTTGACATTGAGTGAGAGGTTATTTTCCTGGCACCACGCAGCCAGGGCCCTCACCTCCTCCCTGTAGGCGGTCTCATCGTTGTTGGTAATCAGGCCTACCACAGTTGTGTCATCTGTAAACTTGATGATTGAGTTGGAGACTTGCATGGCCACACAGTCATGGGTGAACAGGGAGTACAGGAGGGGGCTGAGAATGCACCCCTGTGGGGCCCACGTGTTGAGGATCAGCGTAGCGGAGGTATTGTTGCCTACCTTCACCACCTGGGGGCGGCTCGTCAGGAAGTCCAGGACACAGTTGCACAGGGAGGGGTTCAGACACAGGGCCCCGAGCTCAGTGATGAGCTTGGAAGGTACTATGGTGTTGAAGGCTGAGCTGTAGTCGATGAATAGCATTCTTACATAGGTATTCCTCTTGTCCAGATGGATAGGGCAGTGTGCAGTGCGATGGCGATTGAGTCATCCGTGGGTCTGTTGTGGCGGTATGGAAATTGTAGTGGGTCTAGGGTGTTGGGTAAGGTGGAGGTGATATGTTCCTTAACTAGCCTCTCACAGCACTTCATGATGACAGAAGTGAGTGATAGTGATTTAGTTCAGTTATCTTCGCTTTCTTGGGTACAGGAACAATTGTGGACATCTTGAAGCAAATGGGGACAACAGACTGGGATAGGGAGAGATTTAATATGTCCGTAAACACTCCAGCCAGCTGGTCTGCACATGCTCTGAGCACACCACTCTGCTCCAGTCTCTGGAGAGAACAGGAGAGCACAGATACTGAGATAGCTGTATATAGCTGTAGATAATAGAGTGATGCCCTTGTTGTAACACAGTAACACAGTATACAACACTAATACAGTCCTGCCTGTGCGGAAAATCGAATAGACCTACATAGCAGAGATCATCACCTGTGTGTAGATACAGTATGTCTATTTGTGGATCACCACTTAAGCCGGCCTGACATACTGTATCTCATGACTGTGGCTGACAGCGAGGATCAATGTCTGGGCTCTAATTGGGGAGACAGACAATTGACCATGCAATATGGGCCGAATGGACAGAGAGAAAACCTAATCAGGGCCTAGAACACACACAAACAAGCCTATCCTGGCCAGAATTAATATGACTGTTGAGCATGAAAAACCCTGCATCATTGCAGTTCTTGACACAAACCGGTGTGCCTGGCACCTACTACCCGTTCACTTAAATATTTTTTCTTGCCCATTCACCCTCTGTATGGCACACATACACACGTCTCAGTTGTCTCAACGCTTAAAAAACATTATTTAACCTGTCTCCTTCCCGTCATCTACACTGATTGAAGTGGATTTAACAAGTGACATCAATAAGGGATCATAGCTTTCACTGGATTCACCTGGTCAGTCTATGTCATGGAAAGAGCAGGTGTTCTTAATGTTTTGTATACTCAGTGTATATTTAACACTTGGAGGAGTTAGTATTGGGTGTTCTGCAATGTAGCGTTACTTGCAATTAACGCTAAGTCCGGGAAAATGTTTGGTGCGCTCCTAGATGGACCAACCAGTAACGGGTTTTTCTTTCTGAAGGAGGAAGGGGGTTTTATGGCGTGCTAATTGATTGGCTGGGAGGGGGGACATGGTCTCCTGAGCACCGAGCCAGGGGTCTCTACAGGAGCAATAAAGTGCTCTAACAGAGAGAATAGAGAGAAAGGAAGGAGAGAGAGGAGCTGTGGATGGAGAAAAAACACAGTCCTTAATGTCATAATCATTGAGTGAGAGAGCCACTGTCACACACACACACACACACAGGCACGTACACATTCACACACACACACGGGAACACACACGCTGCATGCACACACAGACACACACACACACACACACACACACACACAGTGGCCATATCGTGTAATAATAGCGCAGCGCTATATCTGTGCTATTCTCACTGGGAGCCCATGGAGCTAGTGTACAGTATGTGGGTGAGTGAATGAGGCTACTGGGCATAATGTGGAGCTGAAGCTCAGCAGACTGCTGGCAACATTGTGTAGATCTAGGTGAGTAAAGAGCAGCACTATAAAGCCAATGCAGAGAGCAGAGTGCCACTTCCCTTTAGTCATTACTCTAATAGGCGTTTATTAAAAACAGCAAGTGACCTGGAAAAATCTGTTTCTCAGCTGAAAGATTTTCATTTGGTAATTACTATGATACTATTAGCTGATATGGCATATAATATCCACAGGACCTCACAGTGAAGAAGTGGGTGGGTTCAACATAAACTACAGCCCAGAGAACTCAATGTAACACTAGATATCAACACACTTTATTTTCTCATTAGGTCTATTTGCTTTCATGGCATGAAATGGACCTAAGCGGTGGGGTCAACGATCTGTTACTCGGTCCAGTTGGCACACATTGTCACGTTCCCCAGACCAGACATTCCCACACAGTAAACAAACCCACTGGCTTAAATACTGATTCCATTAGCAATGCCAGGTAGAGCTACAGTCAGGGTCGTGTTCATTAGGGACAAAACACTTTAAAGCGTTTTGCAATGGACAATGAAAATGGGCATTTCTTATTGGACGAGTCCAGGTTGTCTCTCCCTGTTTTGTTACGTTTACTTCCTGTTTGGTGCCTATTGAACGCGACTCAGGTGTAATGAGTATAGCAGGGGTCAGCTTTACCTGTGACCTCCAGGGGCACGGTGTCCTGTTCGTCATTGATGCCCACCACCACCTCACAGCGGTACATGCCCGAGTCACTGGAGCGCAGACTGCTGAGTGCAAGGCTGGCGTTGTAACGGTTGTCCTGGTAACCGGGCAGGGTGACACGCCCCTGGAATGCCTTCTTAACCTAAACCACAAAAAGACAGAACAGTTATGAACACACAATTAAAGCAAAATGAAGCATACAGTATGAAAGACAACAAAGATGGCAATGAAAAAGAAAAAGGACATTCCACTAAATGTTTGCTGGTCCAATTATCACAGTTGGCAGCAGAAAAGCGGAAATGTATTTAATCTTATTTTCATAGAAAGAAGAAAGGATTGTGCATCACATACTGTATAGTTACAGATTCTGCTTTTAAATAAGTTGAAGCTAAGTACTGGCTAGATGGCCCACACACTCTTCATATACGTACAACCGACATTTTGTATTCTTCCCACTTCGTCAATCTTTACCTTGACCACGTTGTACTTGGCGACCAGGATGGACTGTTCCCTCTGCCGACCGTCGTCGCCCCTCTGGCCCCACACCTTGGTCCACTTGATGCGGGGGGGCTCGTTGGTAGGGGTGGGGCGCAGGGTGAAGACACAGGGCAGCAGGACGGTGTTGGCCAGCTGCTCCCTCACCCTCTGGTGTGTCACCTTCCTCATGTTCACCACCGGGTCTGACCACACCAGGCCTGGAGAGAGGAGAGGATGAGGAGGAAGAGGAAGAGGAGGATGTGGAGGAGGAGAGATACACAGGCAGGTCTACAGTGTCAGACAATTGTTTCTGAACCGTGAATATGAAACACTGGAAATGGAGGCTAGGTCTACTACGGTATAATACAGACGCTTTTTTTATCAACGTGTTATCAAGACATGTGTGTTGGTACTGGGCTGGAAGGGGATCACTGATATACAATACTATCGCATGCTATTTTCTTTGGCATGGAGAAAGGTGGGGATCGATTCCTGTGTATCTATTGGGGGATGTGATGGATTCATCTTCTTGCTCTTGTTTAATTAGCCCTGCAATTGTAAAGTATAAAACAAGAGAATGGTCTCTATCCTATATGACTGATTATTGGTCATTGATTCTTCAGATAAAGACATGTTCAAACATAGTGCTACAGTACAGATGGGAAGATGAAATGTCTTTTCAAAAGCCATAAATCAAACTCTGTATGAAGTCAACAGTTTGATCTGTTCTAACCTCATAGCCCATCTCCATGATTGATTATTGGACCGTTTTAATCATAACAAATGAGGGTTGTCATAAAAATAAAAATGCCACACACGCTACAACAAGGGTCTCCAACCTTTTCTAGCATGAGCTACAATTTTTTATATACCGTAGCTTTCAAACAAGCACATTCCTCTCTTCTCCTCTACCCTGCAACTCTTCCCCTGGTCCTTCGTGTACAAGATATGTGTTTTCTGTCAATATAAATAAAAGAATGGTTAATAAACAACTCTAAGGGGGCCCTATAAAATCATATTTAGTATTTTCCTGAATTCTGTTTCTCTTTCCTGTTTTTTATTACTCCCCAACGGGCTCGGGAGAGGCGAAGGTTGAGTCATGCGTCCTCCGAAACATGACCCGCCAAACCATACTTCTTAACACCCGCTCGCTTAACCCGGAAGCCAGCTGCACCAAGTTAATTGCGCATCTAGCAAGAGAGGAATGGGTCGGCCTAGCGATGTTTCTGCTGTTAGGTCTACTGCTTCAGAACATGTCATGGCAGAGTTTGGAAAACAATCACCACCCAATTGATACAAATAATCATGATATACAGTGGGTATAGAAAGTCACCACCCCCTTTCAAAATGTTCACCTTTTGTTGCCTTACAGCCTGAAATGAAAACACATAAAATCAGACTTTTTCCGTCTTTATTTACACACAGTAACCCACAACATCCAAGTTTTTTTTTTTTTTTTTTATAAAAAAAAAATCTGAAAATTAATCACAATTAAAACAGTAAAATACCCTATTTGGTTAAGTGAACACCCCCCTAGTTAATACTTGGTGGAACCACCTTTTGCTTGAATTACAGCCATGAGTCTCTTTAAATACGTCTCTACTAACTTTGCACCCCTAGACTGCGCAATATTTGCCCATTCTTCCTTGCAGAATTGTTCAAGCTCAGTCAAATTGCATGGTGACCGCTCATGGACTGCACTCCAAGTCATTCCACAGATTCTCGGGGCTCCGACTAGGCCACTCAAGGGCATTCACCTTCTTGTCCTTGAGCCACTGTACGGTTGCTTTGGCGGTGTGCTTTGGGTCATTGTCATGTTGAAACGTGAACCATCTTCCCATTTTCAACTTCCTGGCAGAGGGCTGCAGGTTCTCCTCAAGAACCTGTCAGTATTTTGCACTGTCCATTTTCCCTTCTATCCTGACAAGTGCTCCAGTCCCAGCTGAAGAGAAACACCCCAACAACAGGATGCTGCCACCGCATTGCTTTACTGTAGGCATGGTGTTCTTTGGGTGGAAAGATGTATTGGGTTTTCGCCAGACATATCGTTTTGCATTCAGGCCAAAAAGTTCAATTTTGGTCTCATCTGACCACAGCACCTTTTGCCACTTGGCACACGGAATCTACAATGTGCTTTTTGGCAAAGCTCAAACAAGACTTGATGTGGCTTTTTTTGAGGAGTGTTTTTTTTCTTGCCACCCTCCCATAGAGGCCAGATTTGTGGAGTGCTTGTGATATTGTGGTCACATACACACATTGACCAGTCTTTGCCACAAAGGCCTGAAGCTCCTTCAAAGTCGCCATTGGCTTCTTGGTGGCCTCTCTGATCAGTCTCCTCCTTGCCCGGTCATCCAGTTTGGAGGGACGGCCTGATCTTTGCAGGGTCTGGGTGGTGCCATACGCCTTCCACTTCTTAATAATGGTCTTAACTGTGCTCCGAGGGATAGACAAAGCCTTTGAAATATTTTTATATCCATCCCCTGACTTGTGCCTTTCCACAACTTTATCTCGTAGATCTTTTGAAAGTACCTTTCCGCCCATAGTGGATTCTTTGCTTTGAATTGCGCTACTAAGCAGTGGAGTCCTCTATGAACAACTGATTTTATTCTGAACTAATCAAAGTCACTACAATTGATCACAGATGGAAGCCAATTAGCTTGATTTGTGATCTGGAAGGTGGTTGGTTATACCTCAGCAAGTTTGCAATTGCAATTCTAAGGGGGGGGTGTTCACTTATCCAAATAGGGTATTTTACTGTTTTACTTTTAATTAATTTTCAGAGTTTTTTAGATTTTCAAAAAAATAGATATTGTGGGTTACTGTGTGTAAATAAAGCCGGATTTTATGTCTTTCATTTCAGGCTGTAAGGCGACAAAAGGTGAACATTTTGAAAGGGGGTGGTGACTTTCTATACCCACTGTAGTTCTGTCAGGTAAGCCTACTTTGCATTTAATTGAGAAGGTTTTGGAGGAAAGTCTTGGCATCGCTAACTGGCTACATTTAGAGTGATAAACAAACAAAGAAGACAGAGGGGCAATATTGCTGGAAAATAATTGGCAGATATTGTGTTACGTTTGGCTTTTAAGCCAACAGTGGTTAACCAAGGGTGGGATAATGTGTGGCTTTGATTGGATAGAACCCAGGAGCTTTATGTTTATGACAGTTTGCGATGGAACACATGATAAAATGCATGTACTTTCAGAATTGATTGGCGAGCTGCTCATTGGTGGGCTCTGCATTACTTGTAGCTCACTTGTAACTTCTACCCGTTGGAGACCCCTGCTCTACAGTCACGTAGGATAGAGATATAGACTGTATCTCTATCCGTTCATACAGTTCACCTTATTATAAATGAGGCTTACATTGTAAGCTACTGGCTTTTTTTCTCTCCTGCACTCCTCCTCCCTCCATCCTTCCCCTGCTCCTCCTGAGACCATTCCCAGCCCATAGTCATTAGGTCATGTGGTAGTGTGTTGGGATGTGGAAGTATCGACAACATCAGCCACCAGTGCCTGGGAAGGCCAGCAGGGAATACAGGCACACACACACTCTCCCCCAGACTTAAAAGCCCTCCTTAGTATAAAAACGTTCAATCAGCAACTCACTCACTGGGGGACCTCTCTTATAAGAGCATTAATTAATAACAGCATTGAGATCTATCAGATAGGCTGTATCGTTTGAGTGGAACCAGGAGAGAAATGCTAAAACTCTCTTATTTCTTTCTCGATTGCCCAGGCAGCAGTGGGGAAACATAGACTGCTAGTGTCACGTTGTTATGAATGTAGAGGGGGAAGGAAGGAAAGAAAGAGAGCGAGAGAACTGGAGGCAGTGGTTGATGGTAGGAAGTAGGGGGAAATGAGGGTATTGATTTATTTTCATTACTATCCGTTTCCTCTACACCTGCAGTGTGTCGACTCGCTCCCCGCTCCTATTTCATCTGATTAGATTTCATGTAAAGTGTGGCGGAGCAGGGTTGTGGCGTCGCCGCTGGTGGAATGTGTCTCTCCTGGCTGTCTCCACAGTAATTAAGTAGCTGATTGGAAGAGCAATGCTTCCCGAGATCGTCACAGACACGCCGTTGTGCTTTTCTCTCTCCCTTCCCTTCTCTTTCCTTTCTCATTCCCTTCTTCATACGACCACCAGGCCACAGAAGCTTTTTATTTTTGCCTCTGTTCATTTATTTGGTTTTCTTCCGACAATCTATTTTTCTTCCGTTTCCCTTTTTGAAACCTGGCTCGATGTTTTCGCTCGGCTTCAGCTAGCAATTTCATTACATTCAGTCTGTGACAGCAATTCAATTTGCCCTCTGTTGCCTCATTTTCGATTCCCATTGAATTATGCCCAATGCCGGATGGATAAGAGTGGTGTGTGTATGTGTGTGCCCTCCCCTCACAGCCCAACCGTTACCCTTGGCCTGGCATTCAGCCCCAACCCCTGCTTGAGAACATCTCATCTCTAATTCACTATTCATGGTACCCTAAATACACACATGCTACTCACACACATACACACGCGCGCTTTTGTGGGAATATATCATTTTTCTGGCTGATGGTTTATTGTGTCTTTGAGCACGCCAGAGCACACAAATAGCAGACGAGACATGTGAATAGCTGTCAGTGCTCGTTGCTACATGCTTTATATGCTTTACCCGTGGCTTCCTAAGAGGCTGACTGCCACTTGGCGAAGAGCTTAACATTAGCTCCTCTCCATCTGTCTGTGTGTGACATGCTCAACACTCCAAGACGCCCACGGTGCTGTGTTTGACTCCCTCACCTAGCTGATCTATTCTAAACTGTGTCGCTGGCGCTGCATCCGACGGCATGAAAGGTGATTCATGTTTAAAAAGGCCTTTTTCTTTCAGCACACTCAAGTGATGCTCCGCCTGCCTAAAGAGCTGTGACCTGTGAGGAAAACATGGCCATCTCTTTTCAAAGAGGGGCGTTTAATGGGGCTAGGAAATATCAACACGAGCTCAAGATGGAAACAGAACTTTGTGAACTACAGGTTTTATACTGACCATCTTTGTGTGGCTGTGTGCTGCAGAAGGGGCTTTAAACCATATCTATTATGAGACAGATTTGATTACCAGTATGTTACGAAGTCAACAAGGTTACAAGGAATTTCCAGAGATTTCTGTGGCACTGAAGACAATTGACCATATCAGGAGTGTCATATGGGTCATTCTCGGTTCCTGAGACAGAATGTTCCGGTAGGTACAGTTTCTCCGTGTTACATATGAGACCGTCCACATTCTGAGTACAGAATGTAATGTGCTTCAGTCTGTCAGGGAAAATGGTGGCACTTCTGAACTTTGTTCATTTGGTAGCAGCAGCCCAATCTCCTCTTTCCACAGAGGGGAGTAACGCAGTAAAAAGATGAAGAGGTTTGGGGTTGGCACTCTGCTCAGAACATGATGGTGAGGATGAGGAAGGGAGGAAGGAAAGAAAGGAGGAAGATAGAAGCAACAGTGTGATTTATAGAAGGGAAATGGAGTAATGTAATTGAAAATCACACACATGCATGTGCACGCACACACTAATTTTCTCTATATACAGTGGGGAAAAAATGTATTTAGTCAGCCACCAATTGTGCAAGTTCTCCCACTTAAAAAGATGAGAGAGGCCTGTAATTTTCATCATAGGTACACGTCAACTATGACAGACAAATTGAGAAAAAAAATCCAGAAAATCACATTGTAGGATTTTTTATGAATTTATTTGCAAATTATGGTGGAAAATAAGTATTTGGTCACCTACAAACAAGCAAGATTTCTGGCTCTCACAGACCTGTAACTTCTTCTTTAAGAGGCTCCTCTGTCCTCCACTCGTTACCTGTATTAATGGCACCTGTTTGAACTTGTTATCAGTATAAAAGACACCTGTCCACAACCTCAAACAGTCACACTCCAAACTCCACTATGGCCAAGACCAAAGAGCTGTCAAAGGACACCAGAAACAAAATTGTAGACCTGCACCAGGCTGGGAAGACTGAATCTGCAATAGGTAAGCAACTTGGTTTGAAGAAATCAACTGTGGGAGCAATTATTAGGAAATGGAAGACATACAAGACCACTGATAATCTCCCTCGATCTGGGGCTCCACGCAAGATCTCACCCCGTGGGGTCAAAATGATCACAAGAACGGTGAGCAAAAATCCCAGAACCACACAGGGGGACCTAGTGAATGACCTGCAGAGAGCTGGGACCAAAGTAACAAAGCCTACCATCAGTAACACACTACGCCGCCAGGGACTCAAATCCTGCAGTGCCAGACGTGTCCCCCTGCTTAAGCCAGTACATGTCCAGGCCCGTCTGAAGATTGCTAGAGTGCATTTGGATGATCCAGAAGAGGATTGGGAGAATGTCATATGGTCAGATGAAACCAAAATAGAACTTTTTGGTAAAAACTCAACTCGTCGTGTTTGGAGGACAAAGAATGCTGAGTTGCATCCAAAGAACACCATACCTACTGTGAAGCATGGGGGTGGAAACATCATGCTTTGGGGCTGTTTTTCTGCAAACGGACCAGGACGACTGATCCGTGTAAAGGAAAGAATGAATGGGGCTATGTATCGTGAGATTTTGAGTGAAAACCTCCTTCCATCAGCAAGGGCATTGAAGATGAAACGTGGCTGGGTCTTTCAGCATGACAATGATCCCAAACACACCGCCCGGGCAACGAAGGAGTGGCTTCATAAGAAGCATTTCAAGGTCCTGGAGTGGCCTAGCCAGTCTCCAGATCTCAACCCCATAGAAAATCTTTGGAGGGAGTTTAAAGTCTGTGTTGCCCAGCGACAGCCCCAAAACATCACTGCTCTAGAGGAGATCTGCATGGAGGAATGGGCCAAAATACCAGCAACAGTGTGTGAAAACCTTGTGAAGACTTACAGAAAACGTTTGACCTGTGTCATTGCCAACAAAGGGTATATAACAAAGTATTGTGAAACTTTTGTTATTGACCAAATACTTATTTTCCACCATAATTTGCAAATAAATTCATAAAAAATCCTACAATGTGATTTTCTGGATTTTTTTTCTCATTTTGTCTGTCATAGTTGACGTGTACCTATGATGAAAATTACAGGCCTCTCTCATATTTTTAAGTGGGAGAACTTGCACAATTGGTGGCTGACTAAACACTTTTTCCCCCACTGTATAAAGTGTCTCTACTCTGGCAGCATAAGAGGCAGAGATGGGAAAATGTTGGTTCTCTCAGGCTCAGTGGAGTGAGTCAGCAGGCCTGAGGGGACACACATACACGCTCTTCTCCTCCCTTTCCTCTACCTCCCACAGGGAAGTGGCACTCATCAGTGTGTTTACTGCACACCAGTGGCGGTTTTACACGGAGGCCGGGGGAGGCCCGTGCCTCCCTGGAAATGTCCCTGGCCACCCCTGTGGCCCCCCCCCCGTGCTGACCAAATAAAAAATTATGAATTTATAACTATTTTACACGCGAGCGCCAAAAGCGGAACTAATGCAACGCTCTACACGGCAACGTTCTACACGGGTAAATTAGAGTGGCGCACCCAAAAACTGTATCCTGCCATCTGCCTGCCTGCCACGTGTGGTGCTGCTTCGGTGAATGAGAGCTCAGCAACTACTATTTGCGAGAGGAGCTACGATTTGCAGGAGTCGAAGGTAAGTAAAACGATTTAATATCATAAGTGACTTGTTGTTCTTGCACATAGCCTACATGTTCCTTTTGTTCCTCACACATAAATCAAATCAAGTTTTTAAATGTCTGGTCTCGATTTGTTTAGAAATGTAATCATATCTAAGCAAACTCATCGAAGCAGAAGCAAATATCCAAATGTTAGTAGGCTATCCTTGCTAGGTCTACACAATGTTGTGATGTTAACCACGTAACTTCATCCGTCTTGGCTGTTGCATCGCGATAACAAATACATTTTTAGTAAAGTAATCAACAGGTTATCTGCCAGTGTTAAGTAGGGAGGGATGGTTAGGTAACAAAATGTAATGCATGCCCCTACGTTTTTTCTTCTTCTAATAGTTATCATGAAACGAGGAAGGGACATAAAGTCATTTTTTGCCCCAGCAAACAAAAAAGTGAGAGAAACAAATCGAGGTTTTGAGAAAGTTGAGGAAGAGGGAGAGCCAGCATGTGATGAAAGTGAGGGGTCTGACAAAGAGAGGGAAATTCCAGAGGGTGAGGAGGATGAAGAAGAGGGTGAGGAGGATGAAGAAGAGGGTGAGGAGAATGAAGAAGAGGACGAGGAGAATGAAGAAGAGGGTGAGAAGCATGAAGAAGAAAGAATACAGGGACAGAGAGATGAACAGCCAGAGGGACAGCAAGTGGATCCATGTGGATCAAGTACTGCACCATCAGGTTTGTGATGAGGAAGGTTCTTACTATTTGCAAAGCAATGCAATTACAATGTAATGGTAGGCCTGCTGGGTGTCCTTAAAATGCTGCTTTCTGCTGTTAATTCTTTTTTGTGTCAATATGGCTCTGTTTTTTTTTTAAAGTAAATACTTTGCCTACATTTTGAAATACATGCAGATATACAGTAAATAAATGTTGTAGTTGTGCCCTATGTTTACTGTCCATCTTCTTCAGATATCAGCAAGTCTAAGTATGACGTACCAGTACAGCCGAACTTGAAGATATTCCCAACCACACTGATGGGGGACAGAAGACGAAGCTTCAGACCAAACTGGTACACTACTCATCCATGGCTTGAGTATTCTGTAATGACGGACTCTACATGTTGCTATGCATGTAGACATTTTAGCACACCAAATGCCCCAGACACCGTTTTTGTTTCAACACCTGGTTTTACAAACTGGAAAAAGGCAACTATGAGAAATGCAGGGTTTTCACTACATGCAAAGTCTGAACGACACAAGTGTGCAATGATCGCATGGAGGGATTATCAAAGAGCTGTTAGAACTGACTGACTATGATTTTAAAGTAAAATAAAGTTTATAATCTTTGAATATCATGTGTTGCCAGTTTTTTTATGTGTGCCCCCCTGATTAAACACTGGCCCCTCCTTGGCCCCCCTAGTAAAATGTGTCTAGAACCGCCACTGCTGCACACACATACACACACTGTCCCCAAGGACTATCGCGTTGCAATTTCTGGGCCACCTCGCCTATAGCTGGGGTAAATGTAATACAGCCAACCGTATGTTTAAGCTGAGAAGCACCGATAATGCTCCAGCTGTATAATCATGAGGCATGACAGTGTTTGCCAAACCCTGTTCCACTTTCCACTTGGCCATCACCATTGTGTTGCCCGTGTCCCCACAGCACCCAAACAAATGTGCAGTGAATTACGTTAAGTTGTAACCACTGTTCTCTTTCTGTCAACTTTGTTTTGTACAAATGTGTTTCTTTGTTTGTCTTCCCTTACCCAGATTGTATTTAGTTTCTACCCCGACCGCAACAATTTGTGACACAAAATCAAAATGCAGATACACTTCTTAAAAATCCAAATGACTGCTTAAAGCAGAGGAAAGCGATAAAAAATGTCTCTATTCCTACATGGTTAAATAATGAATGTAAGCGCTGTGGCCCCATCGCAGTAGATATACCAAATCTGCATTTAGATGGAAATGTTTTTACAAGCAGAACCCCTTTGAGACCCTCCTTTGTTTGGAAATCCGCCTGTTTTTCATTTGACTTTTTCATCTAAATGAGGCCCAATCATAGACTGCCTAACCTGTGGAGGAGAGGAGCGAGGGAAGAGGCGAGGCAAAAGAGGACTGAGCGAAGAGAGAGCAAGAGCGAACGAGAGCATGAGGCGGAGAGACAGGGAGAGAGGAACATGTCTCTCGGTCTCTCTTCTTGTGCTGAATCACACAACATGACTTTCTGATCTGTGATTGTCAACTTGGTCACATTTGTCATCTTAATTTTTTTGAGCGGCAGGAAATTATCAACTGGAGGCAGAAAGAAGCCTTTATCTGCCTCAAGCAGAGAGAGGCTGTTAATGCATTCTTCCACAGTCATAAGTGCACAATGGCCGACATCTCTCTTTTCTCTCCCTCTCCGCCAGGTCTTACCTGTAACGAGCTTCTCAATGATAAAGGCCCCATTGTCTCTATTAGACCAGCAACACGGCTCTGAACTGATCAAGTGCATCATTGGCATTGACTAACGATGTGTCCGGTGTTTGCTTTGTCATAAATCAAGAAACATCTTCTGTCTGAGCTTTCTCTCTCTCTCTCTGTCAGGTGTCGAGATCACAGGAAGTTTTGCTCAAGAGCAGTTTGTCAGGATGAAAACGATGTTAGAGTTATTCTAGGGGTAACTGGAGGGCCTGTATGAGAGTTTGCACTCTGGCTAAAAGGAAAGGTGACCGGTGTGTAGGATAAAAAATTGAGAGAGTTCAAAAGGTACCCTCACATTTTTGTACAGCACTTATGAAGGCATAAGGCTGAACCTTATGCTCTTTTTTGTTTTATTTTTAGCACTTTGCACTGTCACCCTTTGTATTCTTTCGACCATGGATTAAATTAAGTATATTATCTTTGCATCTCGGTGTCACGTCTCCTCCCGTTGCTCCCCTCCGGCGCTCTGATTCGCCGGTCTACTGAGTCACCGGTCTGAGCGCACCACCTCGGCAACACCGGAATGGAAACCCAACGCACCCTAATCAGCTCCAGCGCACCTGCACCTCATCATCTCATCAACACCACTATATAGCCCTGGACTGTTCAGTGTTGTGTGTGATTGTTAGTGTCTTGTCGTGTACTCGCTCGTTGTTGTTCTCTTGCTCAGTGTTAAGTAAACCTTTACATTGTTGATTCCTGCGTCCTACCTCTTCGTATCCTCAGTACTCGGCTTGGTTTGAGTGCAAGTACCTTTTTAAATCTTTAATGTTGCTTACCATGAACTGTTGTGTGATAGAGACTGCCGCAAGTTCTTATTTAGAATGTGCTAACAAAACTGTTTATCCGTTTCTTTTTTATATAAACGCCTGGGTCTATCTACAATACATACAGGGACAAGTACTTGAACAACCCTCATCATGCTCTTCTAAGGAAAGAGAGAACAATAGGCATACAAGAGAGAGGGAGCGAGAGAGGGAAAGAGAGCGAGAGAAAAAGAGCGAGACAGATAGATAGAGAGAGAGAAAGAAAGAAAGAGAGATACAGAGAGAAAGAAAAGAGAGGGGGGGGGGGGGGGGGGGGGGGGGTGTTGAAGGTGTTATCTTGCAGATGCTAACTCCCCCAAACCAGCCCTAATGATAACCATGGCAACAGAGACACCACAAGCTGAGACCTGGAGGTGGGGTTTTAGGGGAAAACACATCCTCTGTCTTTCAATGCAGGTTGGAATTTATTGTCATGAATCTTGCCCTGGAGGCAGCTCTTCAGAGTGGTCCCCAACTGGCACAGACACAAAATCAGATTATAAACCTAACCCTAACCTAAACCACACTCCCCTACCCTAACCTTAAATTAAGACCAAAAAGCACAGTTTAGAATTTTTACAATTTAGCCAATTCTGACTTTGCAGCTGGCCCAACTAGTGTAAAATCGCTCAGTTCTGCCTGCAGGGCAAGAATCATGACAATAAACGTCTGTAGGTTTGTAATCTAAATGGAATAAGGGGGAGTCGCTTTTTGACAGAACACCACCGCCTCTCTACCCCCTCCGCTCCACTCCTTCATCCCTCCACCCCACTCCTCCGGCCTGCTACCTCTCCTGCAGTCAGAGCTGCCCGCCTGACAGTAGATTAAACTACTGTGTGTGTGTGTGTGTGTGTGTGTGTATGTGTTGTAGCAAGTGCACAGTGGGCCTCCCACATGCTGGTACTCTCTCGCATAAAATCTTCTCTCTGGGACCCAATCCCCTCCTCCTTCCTCTTCTCCTCTCCCCCCTCCTCTAGCTATGAATAATAACCATGCCCGGCGATAGGGGCCTGCGTCTGTGACCTGTCCCAGCCCTGTCCCATCCAACCACATGTCGGTTTAGTGCCCCTCGGAAGCTGCTGGCGTGACAAATGCCCGCGCCCTGTGTGGCGTAATGATACATTTATATGAAATGGCACAGGGCCCAGTTCCCCACGTCCCCCCGTCCTCATCTCTGACCCGTCGAACAAACACATTCACCAGAGGAGCTTTTCATGCCAGCCACCCATCTGTGCCCACTGCCCCCTGCCTCCCTCTGTCTCCCTCCATCACCCATTTCCATATTCACTCACCTGAAAAGGAGGAAGTTAGAAAAGGGGGTGGGGCAGAATGCATATTTTTGCACGACAGACATAGAGACTAATGCGTGTTAGTAAGAAATTGGGCATATGACCCGAGGGAGGTACTTTATTGTGCTTATGCTATGTGTGACTGCTGAGCTTCTTGGGATACATAACATGCAGGCTATTACAACTACAATAACTGCCATTACACCTATGTACACACACAAAAACACTCAATCTGCTTCAGTCACGTCTCTCGTGCTGAGGGAGTAGCTTGCTGAGTCACAGGCCCACAAGCCTTGGTGTTCCTCAGGCCTCACAATGCTCTGCTGTTTATCTTGACATAAGGCAGAACAATGGTGTGCAGATGGCAGCAGACGGAGCAGGGAGGACAGGCGGGCACAGGGGGCATGGAGGGAGCACAGAGGCGCTTTGGTCTGGGTTCCCTCCTGGTAGGACTGTGGATGCAGTCCTACCAGGAGACCCTTCCAGACCCTGCACTCTGGATAATGCATGGGTGTGTGTGTGCAGTGTGTGTGTGTGTGTGTGTGTGCAGTGTGTGTGTGTGTGTGTGTGTGTATGCCACTGTTTTATACCACTGTCCTGGGTCTCTCATGTAGGGGCTGTGAGTGTGTGTACATGGCTACTCCAGCCCCTGCAGACCCCTGCACTGGCCAGATAAGACTCTCTGAGTAGGACTGGTCCAGGATCAGCTGTTGTCTGCAGGGAGAGACTCTAATCCCTGACAGCTCATGATGTCAGACCTGCCAAAGTGTTCTCAAGGAGAATGAGAGAGAAACACGCACTGACACATAGTCAGAGGGTAAAAAAGACCTTACCCAGGCATCTTCCAAACGATTGCCTGACTTAAGAGTGATGATGGTGGAGGACTAAATTGTCCTGCCAAATGACTGCTCTTGCTGTAATGAGCAGGGACAGCTCTGACACACTGACACACAGCATAGCACTCAGGAATTCACATCCGGTCTTAGAGCAAAACAATTATATTTGACTAAAATCGATGCCACTCCATTTAGTATGATATGTAACTTCACACAATGTGCCGAATACAACAGGTGTAGACTTATCTTGAAATGCTTACTTACGAGCCCATTCCCAACAATGCAGAGTTAAAAAGTAAGACAAATATTTGCGAAATAAAAAAGGAAATAGTAACACAATAAAAACAATAACGAGGCTATATACAAGGAGTACCAGTACCGAGTCAATGTGCAGGGTACGAGGTAGTTGAGGTAATTGAGGTAATACAGTATGTACATGTGGGTAGGGGTAAAAGTGACTAGGCAATCAGGATATATAATAAACAGAGTAGCAGCAGCGTATGTGAAGTGTGTCTGTGTGAGTGTGTGTGTGTGTGGCGTCAATATGCACGTGTGTTTTGTGTGTGTGTGTGTGTGTGTGAGCGTATGTAGTGTGTGTGTGTATATGTGTTGGAGAGTCAATGTAGTATGTGTGAGTCTGTGGGTAGAGTCTAGTGAGCCAGTGCAAGAGAGTCAGTGCAAAAAAATTAAGATACAACAATAAATAATAAAGGGGGCCAATGTAAATAGTCCAGGTAGCCACTTGGTGCTCCAGTAACGCTTGCCGTGCGGTAGCAGAGAGAACAGTCTATGATTTGGGTGGCTGGAGTCTTTGAGTTCAGCCCCAGTGATGTACTGGGGCCGTACACACCACCCTCTGTAGCTCCTTGCGGTCAGATGCCGAGCAGTTGCCATACAAAGCGGTGATGCAGCCAGTCAAGACGCTCTCAATGGTGCAGCTGTATACGTTTCTGAGGATCCGAGGGCCCATGCCAAATCCTTTCAGCCTCCTGAAGGGGAAGAGGCGTTGTCGTGCCCTCTTCACGACTGTGTTGGTGTGTTTAGACCATGATAGGTCCTTAGTGATGTGGACCCCGAGAACTTGAAGCTCTCGACCCGCTCCACTACAGCCCTGTCGATGTGAATATCGGCGTGTTCGGCCCTCCATTTCCTTTAGTCCACGATAAGCTCATTTGTCTTGCCCACGTTCAGGGAGAGGTTGTTGTCCTGGCACCACACTGAGCACGGACCCCTGAGAGGCCCCCTTGTTGAGGGCCAGCGTGGTGGATGTGTTGTTGCCCACGCTCACCACCTGGGGGCGGACTGTCAGGAAGTCCAGGATTCAGTTGCAGAGGGAGTTGTTTGGTCCCAGAGTCCTTAGCTTAGTGATGAACTTGGAGGGCACTATGGTGTTGAACGCTGAGCTGTAGTCAATGAACAGCATTCTCATGTAGGTGTTCCTTTGTCCAGGTGGGAAAGGGCAGTGTGGAGTGCAATAGAGATTGCGTCATCTGTGGATCTGTTGGGGCGGTATGTGAATTGGAGTGGGTCCAGGGTTTCTGGGATGATGGCATTGATGTGAGCCATGACCAGCCTTTCAAAGCTACAGATGTGAGTGCTACGGGGCTGTAGTCATTTAGACAAGTTACCTTGGCGTTATTGGGCACAGGGACTATGGTGGTTTGCTTGAAACATGTAGGTATTACAGACTGGGTCAGGGAGAGGTTGAACATGTCAGTGAAGACACTTGCCAGGTGGTCAGCGCATGCTCTGAGTACGCATCCTGGTAATCCGTCTGTAACCTTTCTCACATCGGCTACAGAGAGTATGATCATACAGTCATCCGTAACAGCTGGTGCTGTCACACATGGTTGAGTGTTGCTTGCCTTGAAGCGAGCATATAAGGCATTTAGCTCGTCTGGTAGGCTCATGTTACTTGGCAGCTCTCACCTGGATTTCCCTTTGTAATCTGTGATAGTTTGCAAGCCCTGCCACAGCGTCAAAGCCAGTGTAGTAGGATTCGATCTTAGTCCTGTATTGACGCATTGCCTGTTTTATGGTTTGTCTAGCATTTTGCCCCATCCTAAATTGGTTTAGACATGATTATTTTGCCCCCTGCCTGAGTATAGAGAGCAATATGGTGTCTCCTAATGCCCTGGAAGAGGTGGTCTTCACTAATATATCCCTTCAACAATGTAAACTACGCTTTGGTACTATTATTGCACACACAATTTCTATTTGGCGCAAAATTGTAAAACAATGTAACTGGGAATGAAAATGGCCCATACTCCAATGTTTCACAATAATGGCTTGCGATCTGGAGGGCGGCCTTTTGCATCCCCTCAATGGTCCAAATGTGGAATCCGTACCCTTACAGATATCATGGACATAAATGGTTTGAGAACATTCCAAAATTTGAAAGATACATACACATTACCAGGCAACTCCTTTTTTCTATATTTACAATTTAGGTCAGCTATGCTGGCCTATGGAGTCCCTTGGGAAACCCAACTACCAAACCATTCAATGATGGGATTTATAAATCAATTATCTGGGTTCCCGAAAGGACTGACCTTTATAATATATAAACAACTTTTGGAAAGCTCATATTCTGAGCTAGCCATTAAAAAAGTTTGGTCCACAGATCTAATGGCATCTGAACAACCCTTTAACTGGAACTGAATAGGGAAAAATATGACCTTGGCATCCCGTAATCAACTTATACATTTTAAGTTCATTCACAGACTGTATTTAACACCAAGGAGACGTTTTACGATGATATTGACTCCAACTCCCAAGGCATCCGCATGCTTCCCAGCCTAAATAGTTCGGAACAGTTCGTGCATATATTATGACAACATTTTGTGACGTTTTTGTTCTTCGGCAAAGGTTTTTTCGGTTGTTCGTGCACACTACATTTTTTCTCGCGGCAATCCAAAGTCAGAAGCTGAAGTCTACAGCCCTTCATCAGTGATTCATCACAGAGCTCTGTGTAGGATGGGGCGAAATGCTAGTGCCTGGAAATACAATTTAAAGGTTTGGTACGGATAGTATTATATTTTAATACTTTAAAACGTACTATATTTTACTAAATCCGGGACACTCAAATTAGTATGATATGTTACAGTAGGGATTCTTCAATGAAGTGTTTGTTGTCATTCAACGAGAGACAAATCGTTTTCATGCAAATTTTTTCACTTCAGAAATACTGCACCAAACATCTTAGTATACTACCTATTGCATCTCAAAATGTACAAACAGTACTATTGCCAATTTTTTCTCCTTTTTCAAGCGAAGATCTTTTAAGGGAGTATACGAGCACACTAGCTGAGTTTCACCTAGCCGAGTTTGGCTAGGCATCAGCCGAACTGAATCATGTTGACGCCTTAAATCAGGTAGGCACATTCCTTCATATGATGTACGAGTACCCTGCTGGTAGCCCTTTCCTGCAGTCAATGACCAAAAGGCCCCATGGGTTGAATGATAATATATTTCATCATTTCATCATTAATAAAGATTATTTCAAAAAACATGATGAAAATTCGGTGTTTCTATGTCAAACAGTTTTGTTATATTTCAGTCTTCTGTGATGTATATAAAGTGTAATAATGTGATGCAAACTCAAAATGTAATACATTTCAACTCTATATCTGACATGATACAGGTGTCTTCTTTTTTTTAAGACCATAACCATGTACGTGAGGTGTATACTTTTGTTTCAAAGTAGATTTGTTTAAGACTACCAAGAATCACTCTGTGTGACCCTGATTTAGCCCACTGCAGTAAAAGGTGAAATACTTCTGGGGAAAAGTTACAAAATTCATTTAGAAGTGCATGAATTTATATAGTCAATGCTTTCCATCTACTATGTTACATAATTAATATCTCAATCAATCAGAGAAGATTACTCCTAGCAGGCAGCACTGCTGCAACCTCCTCACTCTGTCCCATTTAACCAGTGGATCCAGTTACTATTAGAAGTTATAACATTAGAATTATCAACAGCGAGAAATAATGTTGTTAGTGAAGGAACAATTGAGGCCTGGACAAATATACTTGACTCTGTAAAGAACAATTTCAGATAAAGCCCCACACATACAAACCAATTATATACAGTAGTGTAGTGGAGTGTATGCGCAGTATACCCACTTATTTTTCAGTGGACATTGCGTATACGCACTTCTTAATCCCCACTGATACGTACAGTGATTTCTAAAAGTATTCAGACCCCTTGACTTTTTCCACATTTTGTTACGTTACAGCCTTATTCTAAAATGGAATAAATCGTTTTTTTCCCCTCATCAATCTACACACAATACCCTGCAGCTTAGAGGCTGATGCCCTTTATACATAGACATGGAATCACTGGCCATTTTAATAATGGAACACTAGTCACTTGAATAATGTTTACATACTGCTTTACTCATCTCATATGTATATACTGTATTCTATTCTACTGTATTTAGTCAATGCCACTCCAACATTGCTTGTCCTAGTATTTATTCATTTCTTAATTCCATTCTTTTACTTTTAGATTTGTGTATTGTTGTTCATTGTTAGATACTACTGCACTGTTGGAGCTAGGAACACAAGCATTTCTCTACACCTGCAATAACATCTGCTAAATATGTGTATGTGACCAATAAAAATTGCTATGATTTGAATGACAAAGCAAAAACAGGTTTTTAGATTTTTTTGCAATTTTGTATTTGTTTTAAAATGGAAATATCACATTTACATAAGTATTCAGACCCTTTACTCAGTACTTTGTATAATCACCTTTGGCAGCGAATACAGCCTCGAGTCTTCTTGGGTATGATGCTACAAGCTTGGCACACCTGTATTTGGGGAGTTTCTCTGTCAGGTTGGATGGGCAGCGTAGCTGCACAGCTATTTTCAGGTCTCTCCAGAGATGTTCGATCAGGTTCAAGTCTGGGATCTGGCTGGGCCACACAAGGACATTCAGAGACTTGTCCCGAAGCCACTCATGCGTTGTCTTGGCTGTGTGCTTAGGGTTGTTGTCCTGTTGGAAGGTGAACCTTCGCCCCAGTCTGAGGTCCTGAGCGCTCTGGAGCAGGTTTTCATCAAGGATCTCTCTGTACTTTGCTCCATTCATCTTTCCCTCGATCCTGACTAGTCTCCCAGTCCCTGCCGCTGAAAAACATCCCCACAGCATGATGCTGCCACCACCATGCTTCACAGTAGAGATGGTGCCAGGTTTCCTCCAGACATGACGCTTGGCATTCAGGCCAAAGAGTTCAATCTTGGTTTCATCAGACCAGAGAATCTTGTTTCTCATGGTCTGAAGGTCCTTTAGGTGCCTTTTGGCAAACTCCAAGCGGGCTGTCATGTGCCTTTTACTGAGGAGTAGCTTCCGTCCGGCAACTCATAAAGGCCTGATTGGTGGAGTTCTGCAGAGATGGTTGTCCTTCTGGAAGGTTCTCCCATCTCCACAGAGGACCTCTGGAACTCTGTCAGAGTGACCAACGGGTTCTTGGTCACCTCCCTGACCAAGGCCCTTCTCCCCCGATTGCTCAGTTTGGCTGGGCGGCCAGCTCTAGGAAGAGTCTTGGTGGTTCCAAACTTCTTCCATTTAAGAATGATGGAGGCCATTGTGATCTTGGGGACCTTAAATTCTGCAGACATTTTTTTGTACCCTTCCCCAGATATGTGCCTCGACACAATCCTGTCTCGGAGCTCTACGGAAAATTCCTTCGACCTCATGACTTGGTTTTTGCTCTGACATACACTGTTTCAAACTGTTTTGCTCTGACATACACAAGTTCAAACAGGTGCAGTTAATACAGGTAATGAGTGGAGAACAGGAGGGCTTCTTAAACAAAAACGAACAGGTCTGTGAGAGCCGGAATTCTTACTGGTTGGTAGGTGATCAAATACTTATGTCATGCAATAAAATGCAAATTAATTACTTAAAAATCATACAATGTGATTTTCTGGATTTTTGTTTTAGATTCCGTCTCTCATAGTTGAAGTATACCTATGATAAAAATTACAGACCTCTACATGCTTTGTAAGTAGGAAAACCTGCAAAATCGGCAGTGTATCAAATACTTGTTCTCCCCACTGTACATGTCTTATATGGGCAGAAAGCTTAAATTCTTGTTAATCTAACTGCACTGTCTAATTTACAGTAGCTATTACAGTGAAAAAATAACATGCTATTGTTTGAGGAGAGTGCACATCAACAAAAAACTTATCACGACAACTGGTTTGATACATTCACCTCTGAAGGTAAATAATGTACTTACATTCAGTAATCTTGCTCTGATTTGTCATCCTAAGGGTCCCAGAGATAAAATGTAGCATATTTTTGTTTGATAAAATCAATGTTATATTCAAATGTAGGAACTGGGATCTACAGTTTGAACCCCTGCTGTCTCTGGCTCCACACCCACCCTGCTCGGCCATCTAGATGTGTGAAAGTTAGTGTATAAGCTAATGCCCATCATGTATGACATTCCTGGGAGTGTGTAAACTTACATTTTGTATTACCATATAATTTATGTATGTTCTCTATAGTTATGTACTTGAAAATGTATCAATTGACCAATTCGGTACATTTGAGCAGACTTCATACAAAATAATCCAGTATTGCAAAGCTTCACTGGATCAATCTGAAACTTTGCACACACTGCAAAATCTAAATTTTGCCTTAACTGCAATATTACATTGTGGCCTTTCTCTTGCATTTCAAAGATGATGGAACAAAAAAATTAATAGAAAACACATGTTTTTTGTTTGTATTATCCTTTACCAAATCTAATGTGTTATATTCTCCTACGTTAATTTCACATTTCCACAAACTTCAAAGAATATGCATATCCTTGCTTCAAGTTCTGAGCTACAGGCAGTTAGATTTGGGTATGTCATTTTAGGCGAAAATTGAAAATTGAGGTTAACTCTAATGAACCTATCCTCTGCAGCAGAGGTAACTCTGGGTCTTCCTTTCCTGTGGCAGTCCTCATGAGAGACAGTTTCATCATAGGGCTTGATGGTTTTTGCAACTGCTCTTGAAGAAATGTTCAAAGTTCTTGAATATTTCCGGATTGACAGACCTTAATGTCTTAAAGTAATGATGGACTGTCGTTTCTCTTTGCTTATTTGAGCTGTTCTTGCCATAATATGGACTTGGTATTTTACCAAATAGGGCTATCTTCTGTATCTTGTCACAACACAACTGATTGGCTCAAACGCATTAAGAAGGAAAGAAATTCCACAAATTAACTTTTAACACCTGTTAATTGAAATGCATTCCAGGTGACTACCTCATGAAACTGGTTGAGAGAATGCCAAGAGTGTGCAAAGCTGTCAAGGCAAAGGGTGGCTATTTTGAAGAATCTCAAATCTCAAATATATTTTGATTTGTTTAACAATTTTGTGGTTACTACATGATTCCATATGTGCTATTTCATAGTTTTGATGTCTTCACTATTATTCTACAATGTAGAAAATAGTAAAATAAAGAAAAACCCTGGAATGAGTAGGTGTGTCCAAAGTCAAAAGTTTGGACACACCTACTGTCACGCCCTGACCTCTAGAACTCTAGTTAGTTTGGTCAGGGTGTGCATGTTTAGTTCTATGTTGTATATCTATGGTTAGAGTCTAGTGGTTATACTTCTATGTTTGGCTGGGTATTATTCCCAATCAGAGGCAGCTGTCGCTCGTTGTCTCTGATTGGGGGTCATACTTAGGCAGCCAGTTGCCTGGGTTGTGGGATCTTGTTTGTGTTTCGGTGTGTTTGGCTTGTTTGTGCATAGCCTTCCGACGTCACGGTTCATTGCCTTTGTTGTTTTGTCAGTGTTTATCCAGTTTAATAAACATGTTCGCATACCACGCTGCACCTTGGTCTGATCTGTCTCTCAACGTTCGTGAAAGAAGATCCCACCAAACGAGGACCAAGCAGCGTGGCCAGGAGCAGACATCCTGGACATGGGAGGAGATCCTGGATGGTAAGGGATCTTGGACATGGGAGGAGATCCAGGCTGGGATGGATCGCCGTCCTTGGGAACAGACAGAGGAAGCCCGGGTTAGAGAGGAGCAACGGCGACACCGACGGCGCCGGCCGATGAGGAAGCATGAGAGGCAGCCCCAATAACAATTTGGTGGGGGGCTAAAGGGGTGGTCGGGGATCGAGAGAGAAGAGCCCCGACCACTGCACCCGGTGGGTTTCCAGTTTGAGTCCCTATGACCATGGGAACAGGAATGGGAACAGTTTTATACTGAGGAGTCGGAGGATGACGACGACGATAAGTTTCTGTTCCCTAACTCGTGGGGGCTCCCGGAGGAGTCCTCACTGGAGGAGGATTGGGTGCGGAGAGTAAAGGACTGGTACAGTCGTAGACCTCCAGCACCGGTTCCCAGTCCGGTACGCCTCGTGCCTGCTTCTCGCACCAAGCCAGTGGTGCATGCTTCCAGTCCGGTAAGATCCGTTCCTGCTCCTCGCACCAGACCTGTGGTGCGTGTCCCCAGTCCGGCTCGGCCCGTTCCTGCTCCTCGCACCAGACCTGTGGTGCGTGTCCCCAGTCCGGCTCGGCCCATTCCTGCTCCTCGCACCAGACCTGTGGTGCGTTCCCCCAGTCCGGCTCGGCCCGTTCTTGCTCCTCGCATCAGACCTGTGGTGCGTGTCTCCACTCCACCGGGGTCCAGTCCAGCTCCGGTCAACGGCTCCACTCCGGCCCCAGAGTAATCCGCTCCACTGGTGCCTGATCCAGCTCTGGTCAGCTGCTCCACTCCGGAGCCAGAGCAGTCCGCTCCACCGGTGTCCAGTCCAGCTCTGGTCAGCGGCTCCACTCCGGAGCCAGAGCAGTCCGCTCCTCCGGTGCCTGATCCAGCTCCGGTCGGTTGCTCCACTCCGGAGCCAGAGCAGTCCACTCCACCGGTGCCTGATCCAGCTCACGCCCTCAACTCTAGTTAGTTTGGTCAGGGTGTGCATGTTTAGTTCTATGTTGTATATCTATGGTTAGAGTCTAGTGGTTATACTTCTGTTTGGCCGGGTATGATTCCCAATCAGAGGGAGCTGTCGCTCGTTGTCTCTGATTGGGGATCATACTTAGGCAGCCAGTTTTCCTGCCTGGATTGTGGGATCTTGTTTGTGTTTCGGTGTGTTTGGCTTGTTTGTGCATAGCCTTCCGACGTCACGGTTCATTGCCTTTTGTTGTTTTTGTCAGTGTTTATCCAGTTTAATAAACATGTTCGCATACCACGCTGCACCTTGGTCTGACCCGTCTCTCAACGTTCGTGACACCTACTCATTCCAGGGTTTTTCATATATATATATATATATATATATATATATATATATTACGTTTTGCTCTGAGATCAGGCTGGAATTCACTGAGGCAAATCATAGATCAGGACACATTAGATGTCTGCCTATGACATACTATATAGGGCTCATTGTACAGTATGTGGATTCAATACTGAGACAGGATACATTAGATATCTGCCTATGACATACTACAGGGCTTATTTTACGGTATGTGGATACAATATTGAGACACAGGACTGTGTCTATATCTTCAGTTTCTCACCAGGGGTATTTTCACTAGGAACCAAATGGAAGCAAATGGCAGAAATGGGGAGGGACCAATCTGAACTCGTACAATAAGAGACGCTCATTTTTGTTGCCAAGAAACATTTTCTGTTGCAAACCATTTTGCTACAGTGTGCACTAATGAATACACCCATATATTTGAGCGGTATTAGCATGGTATTAAGTTGTCAAAATGCAGCTGAGTTTGTTTTTTTAAGCATCAAAGTGGATATTAACAAGTCATATGAATATTTAACAAGTAATGCTGCAAAAAAAAACTCAAAATAAAGCTCTGCATGGGAGATTAGCGAATGTTCCTGTTTTTCCAGAGACTGGGACTCAAGAGCTGAGAACTGCAGGATAAATGGAGCTGGGAGATTTGGACCCCTGCCCTAAATGCCTCATAATTTGCCTCTACTAAAGTCCAGCTCCAGTATTTATAGTGAGATAAAATGACTGGAATCAACCCCCTCGTCCCTAAGCTGTGAAGGCCTGCCAACATTCCCAGCCCTATAGGGATGACGGAATTGTGTGTGTGTGTGTCTAAGCCATCCTTGTCACGCACGTTGACTGATGACTCGTGGAACCAAGGCGCAGCGTGATAAGCGTACATCTTTATTGATACACAACACACGAACAAAACAACAAAACGAAACGATACGTGAAGTCCTGAGGTTACACACACCAAACCTTTACGGATCAAGATCCCACAAACTAACTGGTGCCAACAGGCTGCCTAAGTATGGTCCCCAATCAGAGACAACGCGCTACAGCTGCCTCTGATTGGGAACCACCCTGGCCAACATAGATCTAAACAATCTAGAACAAAAAACATAGAAAACTAAACAAAGAAAAATCCACACCCTGGCTCAACATTTAAGAGTCCCCAGAGCCAGGGCGTGACAGAGTGGATCCGCTGACTGGAGTTGGACCGGACCCCGGTGGAGCGGATTGCTCTGACTCCGGAGTGGAGCAGCTGACCGGTGCCGGACCAGGCACTGGTGGAACAGGCACGGGCCGTGCTGGACTGGACACACGCACCACTGGCTTGGTGCGAGGGACAGGAACAGGCCGGACCGGGCTGGCGACGCGCACCACTGGCTTGGTGCGAGGGACAGGAACAGGCCGGTCCGGGCTGACGACGCTCACCACTGACTTGGTGCGGGGAGCAGGAACGGGCCGGACCGGGCTGACGACGCGCACCACTGGCTTGGTGCGAGGGACAGGAACAGGCCGGACCGGGCTGGGAACACGCACCACTGGCTTGGTGCGGGGAGCCGGAACGGGCCGGGCCGGACTGTGGAGGCGGACTGGAGGTCTGGAGCGGAGAGCTGACACAACCCGTCCTGGCTGAATGCCTATTTCCACACAATATGTGTGAGGCATCAGCACAGGACGTACAGGGCTGTGCACTCGTACTGGCGCTACAGCACGTGGCACTGGCGCAGGATATACGGGACCGAGGAGGCGTACTGGAGGCCATGAGCGTTGAGCCGGCACACCCCGTCCTGGCTGCATGCCCATTTTAGCACGACACGTGCGTGGTGCTAGCACCGGACGTACAGGACTGTGCCGGAACACTCGCGGCACAGTACGTGGCTCCGCATAACACGGAGCCTGCCCAGTCTCACGCTTCCTAGCCTGAGTACGGGGAGTTGGCTCTGCTCTAACTCTCCGCCAACCACCCTTTTAGCCCCCCCCCCAAAAAAATATTGGGGCTGTCTCTCGGGCTTCCTCCTCGGCCGGTACCCTCTGCGATGCCGCTGCTCCTCTCTGTAGCGCGCCTCCACAGTCTCCTCCCAAGGACGGCGATCCATTCCAGCCTGAAACTCTTCCCAAGTCCAGGATCCCTTCCCGTCCAGGATCTCCTCCCAAGTCCAGGCTGTCTGTTCCTGGACACGCTGCTTGGTCCTTTTTTGGTGGGATCTTCTGTCATGCACGTTGACTGATGACTCGTGGAACCAAGGCACAGCGTGATAAGCGTACATCTTTATTGATACACAACACACGAACAAAACGAAACGATACGTGAAGTCCTGAGGTTACACACACCAAACCTTTACGGATCAAGATCCCACAAACTAACTGGTGCCAACAGGCTGCCTAAGTATGGTCCCCAATCAGAGACAACGAGCTACAGCTGCCTCTGATTGAGAACCACCCTGGCCAACATTGAGAACCACCCTGGCTAAACGATCTAAAACAAAAAACATAGAAAACTAAACATAGAAAAATCCACACCCTGGCTCAACATTTAAGAGTCCCCAGAGCCAGGGCGTGACAATCCTCTATGAACTGCAACCCTCCAAAGGGCAGTGCTACCAAGAAGCATTTTGATCAGAAGAACCCTTTTTGGTAGACAAGGGTTCTTTGTAAGGCAAAGGGTTCTACCTAGAACCTTCAACATCCTAAGAACTGTTTTTGGAAGAAAGGGTTCTTTGATGATTCTTTGGAAGGCAAGATGGATTATTTAGACGGCAAGAAGGGTTCTACATAGAACCATATATAATATTTCCCAACATGCTCTACTGCAGGGAGATTTTCTGAATTGATTTTTTTACTCTAATATCTGTTTTTGCATGTACATTGATTGGTTGATACATTTAATGCGACACAAAGAGAAATAACATGCAGTCAGTGGTGGGAAAAGTACACCATTTTCATATTTGAGTAAAAAAGTAAAGATACCTTAATAGAAAATGACTCAAGTAAAAGTCACCCTGTAAAATACTACTTGAGTAAAAGTCAAAGTATTTGGTTTTAAATATACTTAAGTATCAAAAGTAAATGGAATTGCTCAAATGTACTTAAGTTTCAAAAGTAAAAGTAAAAGTATAAATCATTTCAAATTCCTTATATTAAGCAAACCAGACGGCATAATTGTATTTTTATTTTTTATTGACTGATAGCCAGTGGCACACTCCAACACTCAGACATAATTTACAAACGAAGCATTTGTGTTTAGTGAGTCCGCCAGATCAGGCAGTAGGGATGACCAGGGATGTTCTCTTGATAAGTGTGTGAATTTGACCATTTTCCTGTCAAAATGTAACGAGTACTTTTGGGTGGCAGGGAAAATGTATGGAGGAAAATGTACATTATTTTCTTTAGGAAAGTAGTTAAGTAAAAGTAAAAGTTGCCAAAAATATAAATAGTAAAGTAAAGTACAAATACCCAAAAAAACGACTTAAGTAGTAGTTTAAAGTATTTTTACTTAAGTACTTTACATCACTGCATACAGTTTTCTAAACTAATCCAATCTGTTAGTAATTGGATTTATTGCACCCATTACTTAGATGGTTGTTCCAGTTTAGGTGATTGAGGTAGTCTCAGTATTCAATCTACCCTACCCTGGCAGTCATTCTGAATGCAGGTTGCGGGTGATTAACAATTCCACTTGTTGGATATCCTAACTCTGGCTGGATTCCAATAGGAATTCCAATCAATTTGATTTGACATCACTTTGCAAGCCAGCATAATGCGACTTGCAGGCCTTAAGTGGCCTATAAACCAGGAGATTCCTAACACCACTGTGTTAGGGTAGAACTAAGCCCTCAAAGAAAGGCCTTATGATATTTGTAATGTATTGTTATAAGTATTTACATTTTAAAGACTAATAAGGCTGGTGGAACCGTTCATATATAAAAGGGTTCTAGGTAGAACCATATACAGGGGGTTCTTTAAAGAACCCTACATAGAGGGTTCTAGATAAGCCATTTCTCCATAAACTGCAAAGGGTTCTACCCAGCACCAAAAAGGGTTCCCCCATTGGGACAAACCGAAGAACCCTGTATGGTTCTACTTAGCACCTTTTTTTCTAAGAGTGTAGGAGTCCAGGGACCAATGAGCCAGATAGCATAGAGTATTGACTGAATACTAACACTGGATAGAGCACCTAGGGCTAGCCAAGACTCCGCTAAGAGCCTGGAGCTATCATAAGACCTCCTCAGAAACACCCTCAGAAGAGTAGGAGATATGTAGTGTGTTGCTAATGTTGTATCTACGGGACCAAAGGTGCTAAAACACACACATGGCCATGTAAACCAGTGATGGGAGGTACCGGTGTATTGCCGAGGAGAGGAGAACTTACCACAGCCCAGAGAGAGCAGGAGTGCCGTCAGCAGAGCCTGCAGTCCACAGGCAGGGACCACCGCACCCAGCATCCTGGAACCTGAGAGAGAGAGAGAGAGAGAGAGAGCGAGACTGCTAATTTGGTATAGAGCAGACCTAACTCACTCTATGAAATTAATCAAAACAGGAACATTTTACATTTGGCTAGAAATTCAAAAGGAAATTATCTCAACAGAGAAAAATGTCCTCCTGTGTGCTACCTATATTCCCCCACTAGAATCCCCATACTTTAATGAAGACAGCTTCTCCATCCTGGAGGGGGAAATGAATATTTTCCAGACCCAGAGACATGTACTAGTCTGTGGCGACCTAAATGCCAGAACTGGACAAGAACCTGACACCCTCAGCACACAGGGGGACAAACACCTACCTGGAGGTGACAGCATTCCCTCCCCCATTTGCCCCCCTAGGCACAACTACGACAACATAACCAACAAAAACGGGTCACAACTCCTGCATCTCTGTCGCACACTGGGTATGTACATAGTCAATGGTAGGCTTCGAGGGGACTCCTATGGTAGGTACACCTATAGCTCATCTCTTGGCAGAAGTACTGTAGACTACTTTATCACTGACCTCAACCCAGAGTCTCTCAGAGCGTTCACAGTCAGCCCACTGACACTCCTATCAGACCACAGCAAAATCACAGACTACTTGAACAGAGCAATACTCAATCATGAGGCATCAAAGCCAAAGGAACTGAATAATATTAAGAAATGCTATAGATGGAAGGAAAGTAGTGTCGAAACTTACCAAAAAACAATTAGGCAACAACAAATTCAATCCCTTTTAGACAACTTCCTGGACAAAACGTTCCACTGTAATAGTGAAGGTGTAAACTTGGCAGTAGAAAACCTAAACAGTTTATTTGACCTCTCAGCTTCCCTATCAAATCTAAAAATCTCTAACAGAAAACCGAAGAAAAGTAACAACAGTGACAAATGGTTTGTTGAAGAATGCAAAAACCTAAGAAAGAAATTGAGAAACCTATCCAACCAAAAACTTAGAGACCCAGAAAACCTGAGCCTACGCCTTCACTATGGTGAATCACTAAAACAATACAGAAATACACTACGGAAAAAGAAGGAACAGCATGTCAGAAATCAGCTCAATGTAATTGAAGAATCCATAGACTCTAACTACTAGGGAAATTGGAAAACAATTAACAAACAACAACACGAAGAGCTATCTATCCAAAACGGAGATGTATGGGTAAACCACTTCTCCAATCTTTTGGCCCTATAACAAAGAACAAACAGCAAAACAATATACATGATCAAATGCAAATCTTAGAATCAACTTAAAGACTACCAGAACCCACTGGATTCTCCAATTACATTGAATGAACTACAGGACAAAATACAAACCCTCCAACCCAAAAAGGCCTGTGGTGTTGATGGTATCCTCAATGATATGATAAAATATACAGACCACAAATTCCAATTAGCTATACTTAAACTCTTTAACATCATCCTTAGCTCTGGCATCTTCCCCAATATTTGGAACCAAGGACTGATCACCCCAATCCACAAAAGTGGAGACAAATTTGACCCCAATAAGTACCGTGGGATATGCGTCAACAGCAACCTTGGGAAAATCCTCTGCATTATCATTAACAGCATACTAGTTCATTTCCTCAGTGAAAACAATGTACTGAGAAAATGTCAAATTGGCTTTTTACCTAATTACTGTATGACAGACCACATATTCACCCTGCACACCCTAATTGACAAACAAACAAACCAAAACAAAGGCTAAATCTTCTCATGCTTTGTTGATTTCAAAAATGCTTTTGACTCAATTTGGCATGAGGGTCTTCTATACAAATTGATGGAAAGTGGGGTTGGGGGAAAAACATACGACATTATAAAATCCATGTACACAAACAACAAGTGTGCAGTTAAAATTGGCAAAAAACACACACATTTCTTTCCACAGAGCCATGGGGTGAGACAGGGATGCAGTTTAAGCCTCACCCTCTTCAACATATATATCAACGAATTGGCGAGGGCACTAGAACAGTCTGTAGCACCCAGCCTCACCCTACTAGAATCTGAAGTCAAATGTCTACTGTTTGCTGATGATCTGGTGCTTCTGTCACCAACCAAGGAGGGCCTACAGCAGCACTTAGATCTTCTGCACAGATTCTGTCAGACCTGGGCCCTGACAGTAAATCTCAGTAAGACAAAAATAATGGTGTTCCAAAAAAGGTCCAGTTGCCAAGACCACAAATACAAATTCCATCTAGACACCATTGCCCTAGAACATACAAAAAACTATACATACCTCGGCCTAAACATCAGTGCCACAGGTAACTTCCACAAAGCTGTGAATGACCTGAGAGACAAGGCAAGAAGGGCCTTCTATGCCATCAAAAGGAACATAACATTTGACATACCAATTAGGATCTGGCTAAAAATTCTTGAATCAGTTATAGAACCCATTGCCCTATATGGTTGTGAGGTCTGGCTCTCAAGAGAAGACAGGCTATGTGCACACTGCCCACAAAATGAGGTGGAAACTGAGCTGCACTTCCTAACCTCCTGCCAAATGTATGACCATATTAGAGACGCATATTTCCCTCAGATTACAGAGAGCCACAAAGAATTCGAAAACAAACCCAATTTTGATAAACTCCCTTTTCTACTGGGTGAAAAACCACAGTGTGCCATCACAGCAGAAATATTTGTGATCTGTTGCCACAAGAAAAGGGCAACCAGTGAAGAACAAACACCATTGTAAATACAACCCATATTTATGTCTATTTATTTTCCCATTTGTACTTTAACAATTTGCACATTGTTACAACACTGTATATATACATAATATGACATTTTAAATGTCTTTTTCTTTTGGAACTTCTGAGTGTAATGTTTACTGTTAATATTTATTTCACTTTTGTTTACTATCTACTTCACTTGCTTTGGTAATGTTAACATACGTTTCTCATGCCAATAAATCCCTTAAATTGAAACTGAATTGAGAGAGAGAGAGAGAGAGAGAGAGAGAGAGAGAGAGAGAGAGAGAGAGAGAGAGAGAGAGAGAGACATCGACAGAATTATAATCACTCAAGTTGCCGATATGTTTGCATGTACACTCTCTATCTCCTTCCATTAACGTTCCAGCTAGAGAGGAGACAGGAGGAGACAGGTGAGAGGTGGACAGGAGGCATAGCCATTAGAATCCCATCCCAGACAGGCCCTTCTAGTGACAAATCAGACAGGAATAATTTCTGTGGTTTGAAATCACCTGCTGGCCCTACATCAGGGCAGGGCACTGATAATGTAGCCGACTTTACAATCTCCCTATAATCAAAGACTGATTTCTGCCTAGAACAGCCCAGTCCGTAGGTCTACAATACAGTCTGATTGACAATCAGGTGGATAAGATATTTGCATTGAATGATGTTTTATTATTTGGCAACCCATCAGCTTCCTCTGATTCCTATACCAAAATAAAATATGTTTGCAGTGTTCTACATCAAAACAGCTGAGCAGCACAACACAGCAAGCAAATACAACATGATTGAAGCCTATGTTTCCATGGCAATTGTTACACATGGCATGTTTGACATTTTCACACACACAAAATCAAAGTTGCAGGAATTCTTAGATCTAGTGAGGGTGGAGGCAGCTGGTATGTGAGAGAGAGCCTAGTGTTTATATACATTTATTGGAAAATGCACCTTTTCTGTGTCGTTGGGAAGGTGAAAAACAGCCTCACGCAAATGGCCCTACCGTGAAGTAGGAACCAGCATCAAACGCCTCAGATCCTGTAACCGGTCACATTTCTTAATGAAGAAAAGTGACGTCCTAATCTCAATTTTGATAGAAGAATCATGAAAGCAAATAGAGAAAACCCAGTGTAAAATATGCCTTCAATTCAATTCAATTCAACTTTATTAATCCCCCCAGGGGCAACATTGTTAGAGCACAAGCAACCACAATTACATAATTTCTCCACATTATACAGCATAAAGAGATAACATTTTACATTTTAGCAGACGCTCTTATCCAGAGCGACTTACAGTTAGTGAATACATATTTTTTTTATACTGGCCCCCCGTGGGAATCGAACCCACAACCCTGCCGTTGCAAACGCCAGGCTCTATCAACTGAGCTACATCCCTGCCGGCCATTCCCTCCCCTACCCTGGACGACGCTGGGCCAATTGTGCGCCGCCCATGAGTCTCCCGGTCGCGGCCGGCTGCGACAGAGCCTGGATTCGAACCAGGGCCACTCAGGATAGACAACAAAGGGCCAGCTTTGCATCCAGGTACAGTATGTCTTTGCCTGGCTCAACTAAACTGACCCGTCTGTTGCTATGACAAAGTGTTAACACCAGCCCAGTCCAGTCCAGATAGTAGGATCTAGTGTGTGTTGATTGTGAACTAAATTCTACTGAGATGCCAGTCCCTGGAGGGAGGACAGAAAAACCCTGTGTATAAATAATGGATGTGGCAGCTATGGAGATCCGGCGTCCAGCCCGGCGCGGCGGCCAAGGTGCGAAATCCGAGGCAAAGGGTACCAGAGATGGGATACAGATAGCTGGTGTCCATTACAGCCACGCTATTCGCTCAGACTGTTTCAAAGGCAATCAAGGACAAACACAGACAGCCCAGCCAGGCTATTCTCTATGAGAAGGAATATAGATGGGACCATTTAGGTATGTGTTATCCCTCGTAAATATTACAGCAACAACAGATCAATGCTTGAACGCTGCCCAAATGATGATGTGATATTATGCTAGGGGCAGGAGTTTTTCCCGATCACGTGACCTGACCAGGGCCTAGAGTATTTCCTGGTTAGAAAAAAATAAGACACCAAAGGCTCCTTAGTACCATGCTAGGGGTGCGGGAAGAATGCCAAGTGATTTCCTTGCTAACGAAGCATCAAAAATATAATATTCCCTTTTCTAGACTATTTGTATCTCCAAAGGCTCCACATGACACACAGACCCACTTCAGTTCAATCCCAGATCAATACAGGCTCCTCAGAGCTCCGTAGCCCTCTCTCCACATCATCAATACAAAGAAAGCCTTCTATTCATGTGTGTTCTCTAGGGCTAAGTCACAACGCTATGTCGGCTCTGACCTTGCCACATCATCAATACAAAGAAAGCATTTTGGGGGCCCTAAGCCAGATTTGGTTGGGGGGGTCCCCCACCTCATGGTAAAATCATTTCAGTGGCCCCCCTCTTCATGGCGCCTGATAATAAAAATAAAAATAAAGTTAATCTCCTGCAATTCTACACATTTTGACATGACTTATGCCATGTTAATATGATATCTGAGTGAGAGTGACTAACAAAATAAATGGGGGCCCCTGGAGGTCAGGGCCCCTGGGCACGTGTCCTGAATGCCCGTTCGGTATTCGGCTATGATTACTACAAGTTTAGATAGCTGGCTAGACTAGTTTACCTTTTATTTTTATTTTTATAATGACATGGCTTATTGAGTGACTGTCAGTGACTGACATAACAAGAGAAATACTGCTGATACACAACCAAATTTAGAAATTGCATCTTGTGTATTCTACTATTCAAACTCTCAACAGTAACTTGAGACCCCGAATTAGTTTCTAATTTTTTTATGTTGCTTATGCCCAGGGCCAGCCCTCCTTGCCTCTGTGAGCAGGGGACAGCCGCCAAGCTGTGAGTGTCCTTTCAAATACCAACTCTCTCTGCTCCGCTGGCTCACAGGACTGGACATCACTGCAACGCCAACATGAACCTGCTGCTGTATACACATCTGCATACATTTCTAGGCCAGTCACAACACACACGCGCGCACACCCATACAGAAACCTGTACACACAGCCACACATAAGCAGAAAGTATACATACAGTGCCATACGTTTACATCTGTACATTTTAGTCATTTAGCAGATGCTCTTATACAGAGCAACTTACAGGAGCAATTAGGGTTAAGTGCCTTGCTCTAGGGCACATCGACAGATTTTTCACCTGGTCAGCTCAGGGATTCGAACCAGCGACCTTTCGGTTACTGGCCCAACACTCTTAACTGCTAGGCTACCTGCTGCTGCCGCTACCTTTCGCTAGGCTACCTACCTACTCTCAGTGCCTTTCACAATCAGAACCCATTTCAGATTAGACATACAGTAATTACAGTGTTAGCGTTGCTACTAACAGAGATATATGAGACCAGAACAGGTATGTATTGTCCTGTACCACGCACTGAAACAGTGTCCTATACTGGGAAGACTCAGAGAAGTCACTGGGAGCCTCACTAGATCTCCACACAGTCTCCACTGCTTCATCCCAGCTGGTTGGAAGCTCTGCTCAGCCTGACTGTTCCCTCCATGTTGCCCCACCCAGATGGCGGAGGAAAGGAGGGAGAGAAGGAGGCTTCCATATGCTATTACCACCAGGCAGGAGCTCATGCTGTCCCTCTACGGAGCCTCTTTCTATCCCTTTCTGTCAACTTTCTTCCTGTTTCCCACAAGTTCTCTATCATTCTTTCTGTCTACCCTATTTATTCCCTTCCTACCTCCTTGCTATCCCTCCATGGAGTCTCCCTCTCTGTGTGCTCCCTCCCTCCTTTCTTCCATGCCATCGTGCATTATGAACCAGGCTCATTAATCACTCACTCCCCCTATCACTCCATCAGCTCACACTGTCATTGTCCCTGCCGCAGTCAGTCAGTCAGTCAGTCAGTCACAACACACACATACACAGACACACACACACAAACACACACATGGATGCACGGACGCAGGCACCCACTCACACACACACCAACACATGCACGCACGCACAGACACACACACACAATGCCATTTCCATTTGGGACTCAGACCCATCAACAGCTATGTAGGTGACAAATTAGAAATTAGGTGACAAAATACATTTGCAGGAACCATATTGCTGAACTTTCATATTGTATAGTAAATGTTATCTTTATTATACTACATTTGCAGGATAAAGTTGGCCTTTTATGAGCTGCTTCTCCCTCTCAGTTGGTTGTGTTTTCCCTTCGTGAGTTTTTGTTCTGATGCATAATGATAAAAGCATCCAGATGAAAACAACGCTGAGACCGCAGCGCTAAAAGCTAACTAATAAAACCTGAATGAGGAGAGAACACAACAGCTCTCCAATGGGAAGAAAGGAGAGCATGCGTTTTCTGGGCCACAACAAACACAATGTCTGTCTGTGGTGCAGTACATTCAGATGGCCCATTGGCATGCCATTTGGTTGAGCACTCTGACTCTAGCTAGCTAGCATCCACGCCAATGGCAAGCCGGAGCGGATGAGTGCAACTGGAATCTTAAGCAGCCATCCATTTCCCCAACGTGTCGCCTGGACTGTATGTGAACTATAGGAGAGCCCATAGCTGGCCTGTGGGTCCCTCTCCACCAGTCTGGCTCTGCATCATCATCGCAGCCTACCATATGCTCTCTCACACACACACGGGTATACAAAAACACACATGCATAAATTAAAGCGCACGCACACACAGTCATTTCCATCCCATCATGATCGAGGCTGAAGGCTCAGGTTATAAAAGGAGGATTATTTGCATTTCAACAGCGCTGAATGATAATGAAGTCAATGCCAACCTTCTGTATGGAAATGTGAATGTGGGCGTGTGTGTGTGAATGCATGTGCATGCGTGTGTTCTTTGTGTGTGAGTGTGTTTTATGTATGGGTGTGTGTGCGCATGTTTTGTGTGTGAGCCTTTTTGTCCCTGTGAGTGTTTGCATGAGTGTTTCTCAGTGTACATGCAGTAGTGTGCCCTTGTTGCCTATGAGTTAGGGTTTTTTTATGCTGACATGAAAAGATGCGATTAAGCAGGAGATGGGCCATTCATGGGACGAAGGGATGGAGGGATGGAGGGATGGAGGGATGGAGGGATGGAGGGAGGAGGAGGCTGTGTGCCACATTAACACTAAACTGCTGAAAGGCCCTGGCAATTACACTGGAGTGCTCCTCACGGCCATCTCTTTCTCTCTCTCTCTCACACACACACTCCTCCCTCCCCCTCTCTCCCCCCCTCCCTCCCTCTCTCCCCCTCTCTCCCTCTCCCCCCCTCCCTCCCTCTCTCCCCTGATTGCATCTAATGTGCCTGGATGTGACCAGGGCAGCGGGGAATGCAGAGTTTGTCTATTTCCCCCTCATACGAGTGTGTATTTATTGTATCTTTTTCCACTCTCCTGATGATGCTACCGACAACACAAAAGGTTGGATGTATTCTCGCATCGTGGCCAAGCGCTGGGCCGTGAAAGAGACGGGAGGGAAAGTAGTGGAGAGGATTTCTCCATGCAGAGCCGAGCCTGCCCAGGACTGTGTGAAAGCATATTACTTCCACCTCAAAGAAACAGTGTCTCCCTCTGCCCCTCTCTCCTATTCAGATGAGCATCCTACCAATGAAATGAGCCTGGCTGGCAGTCAGGGCTTGGCTGGAGGTGGAATATCTCTCCTCTTTAAGAAGAAAATAACATATTGCTCCAATATGGCATCCGACAGGTGTGATGTGGTCCTGATTTTAAACGAGGGAAAGACAGAGAGAGAGAGAGGAGAGAAAAAGAGAGAGAGGGGGAGAGAGAAAGAGGGGAGAGAGTGATCAATGCTCAGTGGCCGTAAAGCCACTTTACACTGAGGCAAATGTTTAACTTGTTCTTGAGCACATCAAGGTCTCCTTGCCTGCTGTCTACAAGAGGAATGTAAATTTGGGCTGAAAGGAAAGTCCATTGAACATTTTTCAGCGCAGCGTCGGACACAAGCAGGCTGTGACTGCAAGGGCTTCTTTAGGGAAAGCCTAGCGGTTAAGAGCATTGGGCTAGTAACCGAAAGGTCGCTGGTACAAATCCTAAGCCGACTAGGTGAAAAATCTGTCGATGTGCCCTTGAGCAAGGCACTTAACCCTAATTGCTCCTGTAAGTCGCTCCGGATAAGAGCATCTGCTAAATTACTAAAATGTAAGATTTAAATAAATGTGTGTCCTGTTCTGTCTGCTGTTGCCTTACCTAACCAACCCATCACTGTAACCTTGGTGTTAGCTCAATACTTGCCAATCTTGGAGGAGGAGGACGAGGAGGAGGAGGAGGAGCAGTGGTTAGCTATGGCATGCTGAGCCCAAGGAGCCTCTGTAGCAATGGCATGGCTGGCGCAGCGACCATACACACACAAGCAAGCAATAATACACACACACACATCCTCCCTCTCCAACCCCCATCCTTTGCAGCAATGGCAGTCACGGAAACCCCATTCCTCCAAAGAGCAGGGATAAAACCCCATCCCTCTGACAGTGACTGAGCCTAAACCCTCCCCAAACTCCCTGAGGTGTGCACACCTGCAGGGAGCTATCACAGACAGTGTCACCCCCAGTGTGTTACCCATGGGTTTAACAGTGGGCCCAGGACCCTGGACCTTATTTAGGGAAATATCCCCCACCACAACACACGGCTAGATGCAGCGCACCGCAACCACCGGCAGAGACCAGGGCATAGTTAAAGGAGGTGAGGAGCACCTACGCAGCTCACAGGCTTAGCCAGTATGACGCACTCCTTAGCCCATCAGTACACTCGGAGAGAAGGAGGGATGGCGAGAGACTTTAGATCGAGAGGAGAGTAGAGAGGAGGCGAGAGAGAGGACGAGAGAATGCTAGACGATGAGCAGAACGGAGATCTGCGAGTATACAGATAGAGGCAGAGAATCCTCGTCTCTCTCTTCGAGCTATCTATTCTCTCTCTCTCTCCTCTCTCTCCTCTCTCTCTCTCTCTCTCTCTCTCTCTCTGATAGGGGCGCAGGCAGGCAGACGGGATAATTCCAGTGGCTTCTGACTGCAGGCTGTTAAGACTCAGTTAATCAAAGTTACTACGGGCTACAGGCCACTGAATCACGCTCCAGTAACATGCACTCTAATAAGCTGCTGAGAAAAACTCATACATATAAACATCAGAGGATTATACTGTGTTCCCAATTTCCCAAATGAAGATTGGGGGGACTTTTAAGATTTTGATTATGGTGTAACCCCCACCCTAAGACACCCCCCACCACACCCACCCTAAGACACACACCCCCATCACACACACACACTCAAATCAGTAATAAGAGAGTCACAGTCAATTGATGACACCAACCCACCAGACCTGTTTTTTTTATTTAAATACTTATTTTCTGTGTATTTGAGTATTTTACTATAAATAGCACACTATTTGAAAGTATTTTCTAAAACGTATTTCCACATAAAAAAATTCTAATACCAAACAGACCTGGTTCAAATGCATGGGAGTATGTAAGTATTTTTATAAATACTGTGTATTTGAGTATTTTCAAATACATGCCAATACTTTCCAAGTGTATTTCCAAATACAGTCCAATGTTCAACTACTTTTGTTTTCAAATATAAAATATCAAAATACTTACTTCCAAATGACTTTGAAAGTTATTAAAATACCCTAAATAGTATTTCAACTGAGGTCTGGTTGCCACACATACAGAATGGATAATATATCATCACCCAAGCTTCCTCAGTCAGTAACACAACCCATGTCTCCCCTGTGTAAACCAGATAACTTTGATATCTGTGAGTTATTAGGTACAGCAATGAACAATTAGCTCCAGTACACCATCCCTCAGCCCTGCTCAGCACTCCCTACACTGTGAAAGGGAGGTTAATTAACTAACGATAGGAGCTGTCTGTCTGCTGTTTAGGAAGCTCTCTAATCCATTCCCTGAGTGAACACACACACGCGCACACACACACAAGCAGGAGAGAGATTGTGGGGAGACGCTTGGAGAGAGTGTGTGGAAGCGCCTCTCCTAGTCCATCACGGTGCTGTGGTGTGTGGGTGGGTGGGTGTGTATCTGTGTGTGTGTGTGTGTGTGCTGTTGGTTTGTGCCAGTAGCAGTGTTTTAATGAGGCTTAACTCTCCCACTACTTTTTTTTTTACCTTGTCTCCACAGCTGAAGGCAGCTTTTGTTTTAATCATGCCATAAATTACAATACCGTCTGAGATGATGCAAGAATGGTGACAAATGGATGCGTGGGACAATGGAAAGTAAGTGGGTAGGGGGTTAGGGGTTTTCAATAGAGCTTAGCTGGACGTTCCGGGCTTCACACAGACGCATGCAGACACGCCATTTCATCCAATCACTTTGTGAAAATAAAGCTCATTAAACCATCAGTCACTCCGCACACTGTGAAGCATATGCTGCCTCTGCAGCTATCGCTGCGTCCCCAACTAAACACACACACACACACCAAACCGGGCAGGCATTGGGGAAATCTGCCCACTGTTATGGGGACCTGGGTGTCTGCATCTCATCACAATCACAGCACCTGAGACACATTGAGGAGCCCTGTGTCCCCACCACACACACACACGCTCACACAAACAAACACACACACAAACACACACCCTCTCAGTGCACACACACCCAAAGCCCATCAGAGCCAGAGGGACGTAGACAGACAGAGAGAGCCAGATGGGTAGGCCGCCTGGACTAGCTGCTGAGGCCCCCTGACAGTCAGACAAACACAATAATGATCCAGTCAGATAAGGACCACGTGTGCTGTCCTCAGCAGCACATAAGAGCTTGACTGACAACTGCTAAACAGTCTGCATGGAGCAGGTGCACATAGTCTCTAATGATTTAATGAATACAATGTCCCATCAACTCAAAGCCAATGTGAAGGTTTTGGCAGATATTTCAATCAATTACTCAGTTACGTACAACTAAATGTCAATCCAAGTTAATGTATGTGTTCTAATTAATTCATCAGTGAAATATTATTGTTCTCATCTGAGTTGAACTCATTCTCCATTGACTGGGAAATAAGGACAATAAGGTCCAAAGTGATGGTGTTGGGGAACTAAGAGCAGTAGGAAATCAATTTGGAGAGGTATGAATGGAAGGATAGATCGGAGAGAGAGAGCGATAATCCTAACAAAGGCGGATCCATAAAGAAGGGATTGTGGGAATGAAACAGTGAAGGAGAGAGGAGAGAATGTAGAGGATATGGCAGAAGGGGTGAGACTTCCAGTCTTCCTGTCAGACGTGAGCGAAATGACACATCAAACAGAGACACGCTCACAATAGTTGAGATGAGCTCTGGAAGAGAAATGTGACAGATAGACAGAGAAGAGAAAGAGGGAGAGTGGTAAAGAAAGAGAGGGAGAAGGAGGATCAAAGATATATGCTGAGTAAAAATAAGTTGAAAAGAGTGTGAAAGTTAGAAATGTAGTGTAAGAAAGTGTGTGTGTGTGTGTGTGTGTGTGTGTGTGGTGTGTGTGTGTGTGTGTGAAAGAGAGTGAGTGTGTGTGAGTGAGTGAGAGGGAGAGTTGGAAGAAGAGAGAGAGAGACACACAAACACAGGAAGTCAAACTTTCACCTGAGGTACAGTACTGAGAAAAACTAAGAAAAGCCTGTGTGAGCTCAGCCTGGGTGGTTGTTTTAAAGTGCATCTGCTTATTAAATAATCACACTTAGAGCAGCTAATGAGTCATGAAAGCCTACAGATGTTTCTGGATCCTGTTAGAAGGAGAGAGGTGACAGAGGTAGAGGAGTGTTGTTTGGGAGGTGTCAGAGGAGAGAAGGAAGGAGATAGTGGAGGGAGTGAAAGGAATAGAGGGGGAAAGAAATGTGTGAGAGACAGATAATGAAAGAGAGTGGGAGAGGAGAGAGCGGGAGGGGGGAGATTAAGAGAGGTGAGGGAGGATGAGTTACAGAAAGAGAGAAAAAGAAAAAAGAGAGAGAAAAAGAGACTAGAGAAAAAGAAAGAGAAACACTGTGGCAATGGGAGTGCAATGTAAATGTTTTGGCTCGGTGATGGTCTCTCTGTTGTCTGAAATAGAGACAGAATGGGTTCCCCCGGCCATATTGATTCAGAGGCACAGACTCGTTTGGAAAATCAGAATGGATGGCTTCTCCTTTAGGTCAAAGTTAATTTACTTATTTATCTGTGGCCCTAGCTGCCAGGCAGAGAGGGACATCTCCCAGCCTTCAAATGTTGAGGTCAGAAAACTCATTTCACAGAGAAAGCTACAGCTGAATCGTGCCTTTTAAAATCAAATCAAATCAAATGGTATTTGTCACATACATGTGTTTAGCAGATGTTATTGCGGGTGTAGCAAAATACTTGTGCTTCTAGCTCCGACAGTGCAGTGATATCTAACAAGTAATATCTAACAATTTCACAACATATACCCAATACACACAAATCTAATTAAGGAATGGAATTTAAGAATATATACATTTTTATTTTTATTTCACCTTTATTTAACCAGGTAAGCCAGTTGAGAACAAGTTCTCATTTACAACTGCGACCTGGCCAAGATAAAGCAAAGCAGTGCGATTAAAAACAACAACAACACAGAGTTACATATGGAATAAACAAAAACAAAATGTACAGTCAATAACACAATAGAAAATCTATATACAGTGTGTGCAAATGTAGTACGTTATGGAGGTAAGGCAATAAATAGGCCATAGTGCAAAATAATGACAATTTAGTATTAACACTGGAGTGATAGATGTGCAGAAGATGATGTGCAAATAGAGATACTGGGGTGCAAATGAGCAAAATAAATAACAATGTAAATAACAATATGGGGATGAGGTAGTTGGGTGGTCTAATTACAGATGGGCTGTGTACAGGTGCAGTGATCGGTAAGCTGCTCTGACAACTGATGCTTAAAGTTAGTTAGGGAGATAAGTGTCTCCAGCTTCAGAGGTTTTTGCATATATGGACAAGCAATGACAGAGCGGCATGGACTAAGATACAGTACAATATTATAGAATAGAATACAGTATATACGTATGAGATGAGTAGTGCAAGATATGTAAACATTATTAAAGGGACTAGTGTTCCATTTCTTAAAGTGGCCAGTGATTTCAATAGGCAGCAGCAGCCTCTAATGTGCTAGTGATGGCTATTTAACAGTGATGGCCTTGAGATAGAAGCTGTTTTTCATTCTCTCCGTCCCAGCTTTGATGCACCTGTATTGACCTTGCCTTCTGGATGATAGCGGGGTGAACAGACAGTGGCTCGGTGGTTGATGTCCTTGATGATCTTTTTGGCCTTCCTGTGACATCGGGTGCTGTAGGTGTCTTGGAGGCGGTGATACAGCCCGACAGGATGCTCTCAATTGTGCATCTGTAAAAGTTTGCGAGGATTTTAGGTGCCAAGCCAAATTTCTTCAGCCTCCTGAGGTTGAAGAGGCTCTGTTGCGCCCTCTTCACCAAACTGTCTGCGTGGGTGGACCATTTCAGTTTGTCAGTGATGTGTACGCCAAGGAACTTGAAGCTTTCCACCTTCTCCACTGCGGTCCCGTCGATGTGGGTAGGGGGGTGCACCCTCTACTGTTTCCTGAAGTCCACGATCATCTCCTTTGTTTTGTTGATGTTGAGTGAGAGGTTATTTTCCTGGCACCACACTCCCAGAGCCCTCACCTCCTCCCTGTAGGCGGTCTCGTCATTGTTGGTAATCAAGCCTACTACTGCTGTGTCGTCTGCAAACTTGATGATTGAGTTGGAGGTGTGCTTGGCCACGCAGTCATGGGTGAACAGGGAATACAGGAAGGGGCTGAGCACGCACCCTTGTGGGGCCCCAGTGTTGAGGATCAGCGAAGTGGAGATGTTGTTTCAGACCTTCACCACCTGGGGGCGGCCCGTCAGGAAGTCCAGGACCCAGTTGCACAGGGCGGGGTTCAGACCCAGGGCCTCGAGCTTAATGATGAGTTTGGAGGGTACTATGGTGTTGAATGCTGAGCTATAGTCAATGAACAGCATTCTTACATAGGTATTCCTCTTGTCGAGATGGGATAGGGCAGTGTGCAGTGTGATGGCGATTGCATCGTCTGTGGATCTATTGGGGCGGTAAGCAAATTGAAGTGGGTCTAGGGTGGCAGGTAAGGTAGAGGTGATATGATCCTTGACTAGTCTCTCAAAGCACTTCATAATGACAGATGTGAGTGCTACGGGGCGATAGTCATTTAGTTCAGTTACCTTTGCTTTCTTGGGTACAGGAACAATGGTGGCCATCTTGAAGCATGTGGGAACAGCAGACTGGGAAAGTGAGATATTGAATATGTCCGTAAACACACCAGCCAGCTGGTCTGCGCATGCTCTGAGGACTATGTGAATTTGGTCGGGTCGCCCCAAAAGGTACGTATTGCAGCTTTAAATTAGTGTGGGAAAGGATGATAGGTATGGGTAATGTAAACTGCAGAAGGACCATGACACAAAATACTTGGTGATTCACAAAAGGTATTTTTCATAAAGTTCTCCCTCTGCTGTGGTTCTGTGGTTGGTTATATGTCATAAGCATTCACTAAGCCACCAAAGCAATCGAATAAAAAGCATTCGGGTTATAAAAACTGCCAAAAATGTTGGCATGGAATCGGCAACTGGTATTTCTCTATCAACCATCTGAATGTTCAACGTACCATTTTTGACAGTCTGATTGCTCATAGTAATTCCTTAGTATCATTAACACCATCAATGTCCATAGTATCATTCTGACAAAGGGAGCCATAGAATGTGGCAAACGAAAGCCAAAGAATCAACAGGGATTTCTATCCTATTTTTCCCTGCTCTCTTTCTCTCCCAGAGTAATGCTCCAGATATCACAGTACAGTATTACCCATCCTTTCTCCCTCATCCCTCCTTTACCACCCCCATCTTGTAAACTACACAGGCTCCCGGGTAATTGCATTTCAACAGACAGTTCAAACGATGGCATGAAATAATTAGTGACAAAACTGATGCAATCTCCGGCATGTTGATCATCTAGCCAGCCTTGCTGTGGTCTCAGGGAGAGGTACTGTAGGTGCTGGTGGGATAAATTGGATCCTGTATACAGTGAGGGAAAAAAGTATTTGATCCCCTGCTGATTTTGTATGTTTGCCCACTGACAAAGACATGATCAGTCTATAATTTTAATGGTAGTGTCACGGATTCAGCCGAGGCTGCTCCTCCTCCTTGCTCGGGCAGGCTTCGGCGTTCGTCGTCCCCGGAGTACTAGCTGCTGCCGATCTATGTTTCGGTGTTTGTCTTGTTTGGTCTTTATTGTTTACACCTGTTTCCCATTGTGTTTTATTGTGTTCCCTTTATAACCCTCTGTTTCTCATTGTGTATTGTGCGTAATTGTTTTGGTCTTTTCGGCAGTTGCCCATGTGTGCGGGTTGTATCGTTCCTCTCTGTGTGAGGTTACCTTTGTACTTTGGATTTGCACTGTATCCAGTAAAGTATCTGCCAGTAGCTCAGTGTCCTGCTCCTGACTTCGCCTACACGTCGCTTTGACAGGTAGGTTTATTTGAACAGTGAGAGACAGAATAACAACAAAATAATCCAGAAAAACACATGTCAAAAATGTTATAAATTGATTTGCATTTGAATGAGGGAAATAAGTATTTGACCACCTCTCAATCAGAAAGATTTCTGGCTCCCAGGTGTCTTTTATACAGGTAACGAGCTGAGATTAGGAGCACACTCTTAAAGGGAGTGCACCTAATCTCAGTTTGTTAACTGTATAAAAGACACCTGTCCACAGAAGCAATCAATCAATCAGAATACAAACTCTCCACCATGGCCAAGACCAAAGAGCTCTCCAAGGATGTCAGGGACAAGATTGTAGACCTACACAAGGCTGGAATGGGCTACAAGACCATCGCCAAGCAGCTTGGTGAGAAGGTGACAACAGTTGGTGCGATTATTCGCAAATGTAAGAAACACAAAATAACTGTCAATCTCCCTCGGCCTGGGGCTCCATGCAAGATCTCACCTCGTGGAGTTGCAATGATCATGAGAACGGTGAAGAATCAGCCCAGAACTACACGGGAGGATCTTGTCAATGATCTCAAGGCAGCTGGGACCATAGTCACCAAGAAAACAATTGGTAACACACTACGCCATGAAGGACTGAAATCCTGCAGCACCCGCAAGGTCCCCCTGCTCAAGAAAGCACATATACATGCCCGTCTGAAGTTTGCCAATGAACATCTGAATGATTCAGAGGAGAACTGGGTGAAAGTGTTGTGGTCAGATGAGACCAAAATCGAGCTCTTTGGCATCAACTCAACTCACCGTGTTTGGAGGAGGAGGAATTCTGCCTATGACCCCAAGAACACCATCCCCACCGTCAAACATGGAGGTGGAAACATTATGCTTTGGGGGTGTTTTGCTGCTAAGGGGACAGGACAACTTCACCGCATCAAAGGGACGATGGACGGGGCCATGTACCGTCAAATCTTGGGTGAGAACCTCCTCTCAGCCAGGGCATTGAAATTGGGTCGTGGATGGGTATTCCAGCATGACAATTACTCAAAACACACGGCCAAGGCAACAAAGGAGTGGCTCAAGAAGAAGCAGATTAAGGTCCTGGAGTGGCCTAGCCAGTCTCCAGACCTTAATCCCATAGAAAATCTGTGGAGGGAGCTGAAGGTTCGAGTTGCTAAACGTCAGCCTCGAAACCTTAATGACTTGGAGAAGATCTGCAAAGAGGAGTGGGACAAAATCCCTCCTGAGATGTGTGCAAACCTGGTGGCCAACTACAAGAAACGTCTGACCTCTGTGATAGCCAACAAGGGTTTTGCCACCAAGTACTAAGTCATGTTTTGCAGAGGGGTCAAACACTTATTTCCCTCATTAAAATGCAAATCAATTTATAACATTTTTGACATGGGTTTTTCTGGATTTGTTTACTTCTAATAATAATATAATATGCCATTTAGCAGACGCTTTTATCCAAAGCGACTTACAGTCATGCGTGCATACATTATATTTTTTTTGTGTATGGGTGGTCCCGGGGATCGAACCCACTACCTTGGCGTTACAAGCGCCGTGCTCTACCAGCTGAGCTACAGAGGACCTTCTCACTGTTCAAATAAACCTACCATTAAAATTATAGACTGATCATTTCTTTGTCAGTGGGCAAACGTATAAAATCAGCAGGGGATCAAATACTTTTTTCCCTCACTGTACAGGCAATTAATATTATGCATCCTTACATGCCATGTATGCTACAGATAACATAGGATTTCATGTCAAAATGGAGTCGGGGCATCATAATGATGTAATATTGTTGAATGGTTATTTCATTTCAATTATGAACTGCTGTTATAGTTCAATGCCCTAACTTCATCCTTTCCTCTGCAGTTCTTCGCTTCCACCTTTGTAAGTCTAAAGACAAGGATTAATATGAGACTGTATAACAGAGGACCATGAAAAATGAGGATCGGCAGTAAAGATCTTATTAGTCTGTAGTAAAATACCACAGCGTAGAATTAAACTGGATTTAACAGCCAATGAATATAAAGCAAAGGAATGATTTAGTCTCCATTGTTGCTGTATTGTATCTAAATTACAGCATTTGCCAGTAAGGACTGCCTGTAAATGTAATAACATTTCAAAGACTTTACTTTATTCCTGAGAATGTGTCTAGAGAGGGTCTTGATAAATTCCACTGCACTCCTTAAGCGAATTTTGGATTCATGAGCCCGTGCTACCAAACTGTATCTTTGGAAATGTATTTTTTGAATTATTTTGGGATCGATAGAGTATCGAGCTGCAAACATAATAACCCTCCACAAAACATTGATACTCATATAGCTCCATGGTACTTGATAAGGTAAGAATCTAAACATGAAACAAACAAGCAATCAACAGATTATTTTCCTGCAGTTCAGAGTTCTACCTTTTTTTAATGACACCTACATTTTCATGTATTCCACTTGGCCATGCCGTCATCCAAAAAAGTTATCGTTCTCAATGACTTACTGTATCTAGTTGAAATATTAATTAAATTGCATACCATTGCATTGTCATGGCATACCCATAGTCTTTGAGTATTAGAGTGTTATTGAAACCAACGCAGCTCTATAATCCCAGTAATGTATCATGTATCAAGGCCCCAGCCAGCCGGATGGAAGTGTTTTGAACCACTGTGTCCTCAGCTGGCATAAATTGATTAATAGGCTGCAATTACTAACAACAGAGGCAGGATAGGGCAGACACCCCCATTAATATTAATGGTACAACATGTCCCCAACAACAAGAGCGATGGCCGGCCACATTATGATGAGGGCCCTTCATTCTTTGTGTTTACAATCAATCTGACCTGCCCCTACAGTGCTAATGCCTTTTTTGTGTGACACTCCAAATAAGTGCCCAGCAAACACAGTGGTGATGGTTTCAGGCGTTAAGCGTCCTAGTACAGAAGATGTACAGGCCTGTGACGAATGAGAGAGGGGAGGCTAATTTCAATCTCATAGAGAGTGTGTTGACATGCCAACATAACCTTCTCCATCCTATAATTGTCCTCCTCACTCGAGGACAGGAGGAAGAGAGCGTGGATGAGAGGAAGAGAAGAAGAGTTAAGGGCGCCATCTTTCTTATCTTTATCAGCCCTATCTCATCAGATAGGGAGGGAGGGCAGCTTCCTGCGAACCATCAGTACCAGGAGGACTGATTGCAAACAACACCTAGAGACAGAGGGGCTAGGCCCGGCCCATTTCTCTGTTAAGGCACCACTGATTGTGCTCCGAAACAGAACACTCTCTCTGTCTGCTGTGAAGGTCTCTCTCTCTCTCTGCTGTGAAAGTCTCTCTCTCTCTCTGCTGTGAAGGTCTCTCTCTCGCTCAACAAACTCACCTCTTTGCCCTCTCAACCCTCTATGCTACCCCTCTCTCCCCATTTCTCTCTATCCCCCTTATACCCCCACACACCTCCAGTCAGCACTGGCAGAGCCCAAGGTGCCACCCTCCCCCTATCTCACACTCCACACCCCCTATATCACACCCTTCTCCGCAGCCCAAATCATCCACATACTTTTAAATAATCTACAGCACACACACCCTCCTATACATCGTATTCCATCCTGGCACATTTACATTTTTGTCATTTAGCAGACGCTCTTATTATTATTTATTTGTTATTATTTGTTATTATTTTCATACTGGCCCCCTGTGGGAATCAAACCCACAACCCTGGCATTGCAAGGGCCATGCTCTACCAACTGAGCTACACGGGGCCCACATCTTCCCTAATCTGGAGCAGAAGGTGTTATCACTGGAGAGAGAGCTCAGAGACAGCATCAGCTAACATCACCTAACACACTTCATTCTGTGTCTGCATATCAGCCTCTGTAATAGTGACATTCTATGCATGACATCTCACATGTGTATCTTCTGTGATGATACCAAACACATTGAATGCAACTTTACTCTATTGGGTTGTATTCATTAGTGCACACCGTAGAAAAACATTTTGCAACGGAAAACAAAAGCAAGCTTTCTTATTGGACAAGATCAGGTAGTCCCTCCCTGTTACATGTCTGTTTTCTTCCGTTTGGTGCCTAGTGAATGCAACCGTGAATTCCCTGGATCTCTCTGCAGCCTCGCAGGTGTCAGCTTTCAGTTCCAACTCAGTCTTAATGACTAAATTGGGGCAATTAATTAGCTTGATTTGTGGTGTTAACCTCAGCCCCTTCCACATGGGGCCTGGCATTACTAACGGGGAACCAGTCGATATATACGGCAGTCAGAAATTCATCGACTACCCCTCTTGATACAGTGCTTATAAAGTCGTATTGATAAACAGATGGATTGACTGAGAAAAGAGTATTGGCTTTCTCCAGCAGTGAGAGAAAGTGACTAAACAAGGAAGCCAAGATATAACGAAGAGTAAAAACTCTCAAACACCCATTTATACCTGGGCTAGCACGCCTCGTTCTCGTTTAGTTTCCTCTCCATCTCTCCATATACCTGCCGCCTGCAGTTTTTCGGTTTGTCAGTGAGCTCAGATGCAGAAGAAACTTTACTAATGTCCCAACAGACCATCAAAGCCCCAGGCAGCCTGACTCAACTTCAGCCCCTCGGTGTGTCTCTGTATTGGGGTGCAGAGGGAGGGAGTGTGGTGCTGGAGCTGGAACCATGGAAGCATCCTGCTAGTATCCTGCTAGTACAGGTCTGATGGATGCAGTCCTGTCACCGGAGCCAACTGTTCCTGCACGGCGTGGGCCCAGCCTGCTTTTAATGGATGCCTCACACATGCCCAATTAATTCCTAATAATGTTTCCTTTCCCCATCCCCTGCCACTGCTGTCCCACCAACTGCAGTGCAGGCGGCTGTCTGGCGGGAGGAAGAGAGGAGGGAAGGAGGGAGGGAGGGAGGGGATGAGGGAACGAGCAACAAACTGGAAGAGAAAGGAGAGGTTTGCTAGCCCACGGAGCAGGTAATGTGGCCAGGAGAGCGGCTAAATTGAAAAATGCTATAGTGCCTCAACAGGGAGCTCCCACCAAGAGAATACAAAAATGATTCAGAAACAATTCATTTCGAAAATACTCAAATTCAATTCAAAACCATATTGATTAAATATGTGTTCTTTTTTCATCTCTGCTCCAACAGTTCCCAAACACTATTACAACAAGCTAAGGTCCAAAACCTTCTAAAGTTCCACTCAATTAGCATTTTCAGTCAATACAATGGATGGAATAAACAAAAGGGAAAATACCGCCATTTAAAATGTTCTCTAAAGGGAGTGCGCTAAAGGGAAAACAACAGAACTAAACACAGTGGGGGTCTCAAGTTAGCTTTATGAGCTCATAACAGACCTGTTATTTATTTATAAACAAAGTTGTTGGACACGCTTTGTATAATTAATGAGGATAATGGAGCCTGCCTCCCCATACGGCTTCACCTTATCACTTATACAGAGTACACTCTATGGATGACACCTTATTCTCTAGAGCACTACTTTTGACCAGATCCCATCATCCACAATACTTTATTAGGCACTACTTTTGACCAGGGCACATAATGCACTATAGGGTGCCATTTCCGATGTACATACAGTCTCATTATGGACTAATCAAAGGCATGGACTCACAGGGATGGAGCCATTATGACTCAACCGTGGGGACCTCATCATCCAACTGTGGATCATAGTGTTTACCGGATGAGACACAAAGCATTCGTTGTTCCCCAGCCCCCTTGCTATGCCAGACTACGTTTTGGAGAAGTAATTTAGCTAACTCATCAAACAATGTTTACTGTTTAATTCAGAGTGGGAGAGTTGGTGTGACGCTTGTGAAGTTTTAACGAACGGGAAGCAGACTTGATTGAAATGGATGGGAGGGAAATATTGAGGGACGGATGCATGGGAGGATTGGCGTTGCAAGGAGAAGGACACAAGAATGCCAATCTTCTTCTGAGGAAGAAACTGTCTCTGAATTAACGCCAACCCTTCAGAAGTTTTGAAGTCTCAAAAACGTGACGAAGCGGACCATCCCTCCATCCATCTCCTCCTTGGGCAGGAATCCATTGGGCAGGATGGACAGAAACATCTGGAATATATGCTGACATACTAATTTGCACAAACGTTTAACGCTGTTAGGTCTCGGACGGAAAAACATTGACAAGTAGTTTTCGTCATGTGTGGTTGGTGCAAAGGAGTTCGCTGCGGCACAAGAGTTCAGCCGTTCTCTGTCTGATCATCTTGACCCCGTGACCCCTTCCCCCCATCCCGACCCAATGTTGGAGCAGACGAGCGGAGCGGTGAATAAGAGACAGCCGAGCGGTCCCAGAGGCCGGGCCTACTGCCCTATCAGAATCACTGCGCTGCCACAGGAAAGCAAACATCATTTATCTACCCGCCAATGCAAAGACTAGATCCCATAGGAACTGGAGTTGACAGTCCAATGCATCTATATGACAGAGTGAGCTGGCCTTAGCTAGGCCAAGACACTGCAGGGAGATACAGCTATGGCCTGCCCAGGACCAGGCCAGCTACATTTACACTTCCTACTGGATACGAGCTAGCCTGGTCTCAGATCTGTTTCTGCTGTCTTGCCAACCCCTATGGTCATTGGCGTGACAATGAACGTAGGAGTTGGCAAAACAGCACAAACAGTTCTGGGACCTGGCTAGATTTATACGGCATCATTCATTAAGACAGCTTCTGCAATCGTGGCGCTGGTCGATCATAGAGTGAGAGTGGCCAATTAAAGACTGTTTGATATATAACACATGACAATGCTTTGATTGCAGCCGGGCGATGTGATGAGCATCTATTCTACAATGATCCTGCTGTCCTGATGAGGAATACGGGATAGCGTAATCAAACCCTGTGATTGCGACGGATCGAGCACCGACACTAAATGCCACTTTGAGTGCCATTTTGACCTAGATGTCTGGTATTAAAACTGAAGGGAGAGAGGGAGGGGAGGAGGGGGGCCGGCTTGGTGTTTTTGTTGCTGTGAAGATGCTAATTAAGGGGTCTTTGAGACACAGTGACGGGAGGAAGCTCATGTTTCATCATTTGGATTGGACTGATGAGAGAGCCATGATGAGGTACTGATATTAGTGCTGGAGTCTGGAGAAAACAATCACAATCACAATCTGCATCCTGCATCTGCCCACTCTAATGTCTTAAAGCCAGTGCAGAGCAGCAGAGGGACCTGCACATTCAGCTCCATAACGACACTTCTTTCACGTTGCCAACCACTGTGGTCTGAAGCAATGTTGTCTTAATAAATCACAGGGGAGCCTGTATGACCACAGTGCAGGTGCATTTCTTCATCTCCTCTGAGAAAAGGCTGCATGCAAGGGGCTGAATACTAATTGAGCAATGGCAAATCATTCAGTATCTTAACGTATCTCTGCGTTTACATCAGACGTGCTCAAGTGATCTGCCTGTCTTCTCCATTCCAGCACTTTTTCATTCAAGACCATGGAGGCGAGTGCAAAACACCATTCCACAATGGTAGACACACAGTGATAGCCCCAAGCCTGACCCCTTCAGAAGCCCAGAGAAGCCAGCCAGCTAATGGCTCTCCTCCATGCTGTCCTCTGGTCCTCGCTGGCGTGTTGAGGAGAGAAGCGCTGCCTGCGTCTGATCAGCATCTGTCAAAACAATGAAGGTCACGCAAGCTGACGCCCAATTAGGGCTCCGCCAGTCGCCTGCTGCTCACGGAACAGTGGTTAAGCCTGTGGATAGAGGAGAGAGGAAAGGCTGGGGAGGGAGAGTGGTGGTGATGGGGCTTGGACACATTAAAGGAAAGGGACAAAAGAAAAAATAAACAAGGAACCATTTTGACGCCATTAAGCCTTTAACGCTGGATGCAGCAGACTGAGGATTCAATATCAAACCCTTTCTCTCTTGTCTGATCTTTTCATTAGAGGATTGGACAGTACTCTAGTTGGTCGGATCAATTTGAGCGGCTACAGCGCAGGGCTGCCTTAACGCTCCTACTGGTCTGGTTTTGTAGCCCTAGTGACTCTAGTGACAGCAGCCAGTGACTAACGGCCCAGCTAATAGTGCTGTAGAGAAAAGAGCCATCCATCACTGGGAAAGTTCTCAGATCTATTTGAACAGAGAGCGGGCTGTCGGGGCAGCCCCCACGCTTCGCGTCAGTGTGTGTGTGTGTGTGTGTGTATGTGTGTGTGTGAGCAGCTGCCAGATTAATCATAAGGCCCCTGGACAGCCCCTGTTGATCAGAGGTGGTTCCAGCAGACATACAGAAAGACATTAAAGCCTGTTAATTACAGATGAGGAGACAGAGGCCATGATACCAGACAGGCGGCCTGCCAGGGGAGAGACGTGCTCACAGGGACACACACACGGGTAGAGGGTAGGGGGGCCGAGAGGGGCGCAGGGAGAGTGGGGGCATGGATGGGTTGGCATGGGGCAACACTTATTCTGATGCTGACATACACACTTTTGTGAAATACACACACATAAGTATGCACGCACACACACAGACACACGAACACACAAACTTTGGTCCATATAGTCTCTGCTAGATAACATATTATCCTTGCAAGAATAATATTATCCTTGCAAATCACAGCAAACAGAAACAGCCGCATCTCGGTACTGAAGTATTTAGTCTCTCTCTCTCTCTTACTTTCTGCATTTCTCCTCCTCTATTTATTCTGTAGGATGACAGTTAATTACAGAAGGGAATTGGTTACAAGCCCATCAGTCTAAAGTGTAAATGTGGCAAACAAAATGGAAAAGCAATTCAAATCACTTAGGAGAAGTTGCCTGCAGAGATTTTGTGTAACATGGCTAAATGCTAATTGTTTAACAACCCGGAGTCTAAAATGTTGCAAATGCATCACTGAGACAACACAAAGAAACAAGTGTTTTTCTTCATTATCAGGAACAGAATGTCCTGATGTGTGTGTGTGGGGGGGTTTTATATACACAAACTCTGATACATTTAATCTCTTTAGTCTATAAAAAGTCAACCTCAATGTTCTTCTGAGTTACTGACTTGCTGATGTTTCTTTCTTGAAAAGGCAACGCGGCAAACAAATGGGTTTTGATATGTGCCTATTTGTACTCTGTTGCCAAGACACAGCAATTGCAATGTGAAAATAAATTACATTTTCAAAGTGCAATTTTCCCATCACTAACATGACAACTATTGGTACATTAGGTACTACCCTCCATTTAGGAAACAAGCTTCGCTCCTAAACACAACCCTGACTGGAGAAAACTCCCTCTCTCTCTTTATTCCTCTCCATCTCTTTTCTGCACTCACTTTCATAAGTGAGTAAATTGAACAGAGAATCTCACAAATCTAAAGGAGAATAATGGGTCCCACTCCCTCCATGCAAAACCACTCTAGTGGGGCATTGACAATCTCATTAATGACTGCAGAGCGACTGCAAAGTCTATTGGTGGGACATTTGACTTGCTATAAACTCATCAAATTGAGAGTTCAGCATTGAATCAAACGGCCGGAGTTATCATTTGACTTTCTCCCTCCAGGGTATAGAGTGGATGAAGTATCAAAGTAGGACTGGAGGCCCCTCCTGGCCACACCAGAGGACAGCCATTAACCACCTGGAACTGTGTGTGTGTGTGAGAGTGAGAGTGAGTGTGAGTGTGAGTGTGAGTGTGAGTGTGAGTGTGAGTATGAGTATGAGTATGAG